ACATTTACAATGTTATGCAACTCCACCTCTATCTAGTTCCAAAACATTTTCATCACCCTAAAAGGAAACTCTGTCCCCATTAAGCACTCAGTTCCATTTCCCCCTTCCCCCAGCCCCTGGCAACAACAAATCTACTTTCTGTCCCTATGAGTTTGCCTACTCTGGACATTACATATAAATAGAATTATACAACATGTGGCCTTTCGCGTCTGACTTCTTTCACTCAGCGTGATGTTTTGGAGGTTCATCCATGTTGTAGCACGTGTCAGAGCTTCATTCCTTTTTATGGCTGAGTAATATTCCATTGTGTGGATAGTTCACCATTTGCGTATTCATTCATCCATTCCATACACATGACTCTGCACCTAATTTCTTCACTTTCGAGTCTGTCACTTGCAGCCTTTCTCTTGCCGATACCAGAGTATCGTTGGTGCTTCTGCACTCATTTTTTCAACTGCAGAGTATCCCTTCGGTCTGAATCAGCTCGGGCTGCCATAACAAAGCGTGGGTTAAACAACAGACATTTATTTTCTCATGGTTTTGGAGGTTAGACATCCAAGACCAAGGTGCCAGAGAGTCCTCTTTCCATCCTCACGTAGAGAGATCTGTGGTGTTTCTTCCTCTTCTTATAAGGACACCAGTCCTATAAGATCAGAGCCCCACTTTTATGGATTTATGACCTCATTTAATCTTAATTATCTCCCTAAAGGCCCTTTCTCCAAATACAGTCACCTTGGGGTTAGGATTTGAACATATGAATTGGGGGGCGGGGATGCACAATTCAGTCCATAACACCTCTCTATACTTCAGCGGTTCTCAACCTTCCTAATGCCGTGACCCCTCATTACAGTTCCTCATGTTGTGGTGACCCCCAACCATAAAATTATTTTCGTTGCTACTCTATAACTGTAATTTTGCTACTGTTATGAATTGTAAGTATCTTTTTGTTTTCCGATGGTCTTAGGCGACCCCTGTGAAAGGGTTGTTCAACCCCCAAAGGGGTCACGACCCACAGGTTGAGAACCGCTGCTATTTGGATCCTGTCACATTTAACTCGTCTCTTTGTGAAGGTCATTTAGGTTGTTTGCATTAATTCACCAACTCCACCCAGGCTTTAGGGCAGGTGTTGGCAACATCTTGCCACCTGTTTTTGTACACAACATTCTATTTGTTGTTTACAGCATGGCATGGCCATGTTTGTTCATTTACATATATTTGCATATTGTTTATTTACATATTGTTTGTGCTACAACAGCAGAGTGGTAACAAAGATGGTATGGCCTGCAAAGTAAAAAATGTTTACTCTTCGGGTTTGCCCACTCCTGGTCTATATGCATTTGAATAAATCTGTAATAGAAATTTCTAGAAGGGGAATTTCCCCACATGCTTTAAAATGACCCATTTGCAATTGTTATAGGTCCTCTCTGAGACATTAGATGTACAGAATCTCTGAAAGATATTTATGAGCTTTTCAGTGGAGTGGGAACAGTTTTGGATGCCCAGGGACCAGCCATCAGGTAAAGAGAGTAAATTATAACCCAAGACCCTCATGCTAACGAAAGTAGGACCCCCCCCTTGAGGAGTGTCACCTGCACCAACTGGTCTAGCGGTCACTCTGCCTGAACACTCGTCAGGAACCCCCCAGTCCTCCCAGTTCTACAGGGTTGAAATCCCTGAGACTCTCTGCTCTGTCTTGCTCATCCCTACCTGGGTGGTACCTTGTGGCTGAGTATTTTGAATATCATCCAGTATCAGTTGGTGTTCCTTAATTTACTCCTCTCTTTTCCAGAAGCTAAGTCTCTGCTGAGCTAAAAAGGTAGAAATTCCAGATTTTCTTTTAAAACTTTTTATTGGGGAACAATGCGTTTTTTCCAAGACCCATCAGCTCCAAGTCAAGTTATTGTCCTTCAATCTTAGTTGTGGAGGGCGCAAGCTCAGCTCCAAGTCCAGTGCACTTTCAATCTAATTGCAAGGGGGGAGGGGGGGCGCAGCCCACCATCCCATTAGGGAGCCGAACTGGCAATTTTGTTGTTAAGAGCACACACTCTAACCAACCGAGCCATCCTGCTGCCCATTGGCAGCTCAGGGCAGCCCAGCTCAGGTGTAGCTCACTGGCCCATGTGGGAATCGAACTGGCAACCCTGTTGCTCAGAGCTCGCACTCTAATCAGCTGAGCCACCCCGCCGGCCCCGACAGATTTTTATGTAGCAAGAAAAAGGACCTGAGGAGAGCAGTGAGTGTCCCTACAGGATGGGGGCCTCCCTGTCGCCCTCCCCCACCCCACCCTACAGATCCTCAGCAATCAGAGCACAAGGGCTCAAAAATAAATCAGAATGTAAAAAAGATGAAACAAATGGAATTTTAAGAGCCAACCAAAAAAAAAAAATCCCTAATGGTGGAAGTGCTGTCTGATTCCTTTTCTGTTGGCAACAATGATTGTTACTCTGGTCTTGTACTGTCTCATCAAAGATTTCAGCCCACAGTGTCACAAGTTGGCAACACCCATGCGCCCATCCCTGGCTAGGCCTGAGGTCTGTGGCCTGGGAACCCCAGAGTGAGTGAATAATGTCAAGAAAGTAGACCAGCCTCAGCTTGGAAAGCACGTTTCTTTCCTGTGCTCCAAACTTTTCTGTTGCATGGTGGATTCTGATTTGTCACCCCCTCCCCCAATAATTTTTACTAAAATATCTTAAACCATTAAATGCCCCTTGTCAGGGGTGGATCCAGGTTTTGTGAGCTCTAAACACACAAATATATTAATGCTGCAAATTTTAAATGGACGGCCCACTAGGTAAAGCTATTTCCTGAGCCCCCGATTGTTGCTGTTGATGACAAATCCATAAATTTAAGGACAGTTCATAGATGAACATGGGCTATTGACATAAATGTGTGTGTGTATGTGTGTGTGTGTGTGTGTGTGTGTGTGTGTGTGTTTAAGACATTCCATTTTCTTGGAAATCCTGATTTTAAAAAATACTTCCTAAAATATAAGGAAGGAGACCAAACTTGTGGAAAAATAAATTAGGACGATATCAGCCCACCCAAAGCCCTGTTATTAAAGAAATATTGGAGGGGCTCTTGTGTTACTTCTACAATGGTATTTAAATGTCCCCCCAATGGCTCTGTAGAGCCACCTCAAGAGGAGCTTTTCACTGTTTTCCAGAACCTTTGAACTGTCATTGATCAATTTGCACTGGTTTTCTGAATGCTTTTCTGCCAAATATTTTTCATTTGTAGTAATTCGTCGGATGCCTGCACAATTCTGTCCCTTCGCATCAATCTAATGCGTGTGTATTGGTGGGACTTGGCGGGTAGGGCTTGTCCCTCCATTTCCTCACACCGGCGGGCTGAGCGGGGACTCTGGGGGACAGAGGTACAATTGGATGGATTTATCTGGCAGGTAGACACCCAAGTCCGACACACGTTGGATCGCGCTTCTGCTGGCGGCCGCCAGGGGGCGCGCAAGGCCGGCACCCGATCCGCTGCCTTGCAGTGAAGTGGGGGGGGGCCACGGAGTGGAGCACCTTAAGCCGCGCGCCCAGGTAACCCAGTTACCACCGGGGTTGCTCCACCGCGCTTCTACATCTACACCACCCTCTGCCTCCCACCCTCCCCTCTCCTATCCGCCCCTCTTTTTCCCATCCTCATTTGCATCTTTGCCTCCATCTCAACCCTCCTTTGAGTCCCCCTTTTCTCTACCCTCCTTTGCACTTTGCATTTTCCCATACTCCTTTTCATCCCCATTTCCTCGCCCTCCTTTGCGCCCTCACTTTTAGGCACTGAACCCCTGAATCTGAGGCTTCTTATTTTAAATGGCCATTTAAAGAAAGATGTGGAGACAGTCCCTCTTCCATGAACATCTTGCTTAGTTCTACACGTTTCAAGAAGCGAGAGATTTGACAAACATTCATTAGATTAATTCAAATGCAAATTATTTTCTTCTTTCTAAAAGCCCTGAGCCCTCCAGGACCTGGGCAGACACATAGCCAGCCCAGGGGTGTGAGCACAAGGGGCACAGGGTTGGTGTCGCATGGACCTGGATGGGCTGAGAGGCAGGAAGACAATGTGGGCTAGGGGCTGCCAGAGCTGGGCCTAGGGCTCTCTGCCCACGCGCACATTTTTATGCCCTGAAATGCCCTCTATGCCTCTGTTATCATCAAGAAAGTCTTAGTGATCCATGACACATGGGCTCAAGGACAATTGCTTCACCAGCTTTGGCCGGGCAGGCCCCAGATGGAAAAAGGACTGGTTCTTGGGGTGGAGTGGGGTGTCACAGGTTTCCACCTTCTGATGCTCTTGAAGCTTCAAAACCCAGCCTTCACCCTGCTTCCTATGTGGCCTCAAGCAATTATCTTGGCCTCTCTGAGACACATGAGAAGGATGAGCCAAATGAGCTAATGTGTGGGCAGGGGCTTGGGGGCCCTGGTGGCTTATGGTCAGATTCCTGTGTCATGGAGCCTCTTGATTCATTCATTCCACACTGGTTTCTTGAGCACCTACTGTGTACCAGGCTTTGGGAACACAGCCATGAATAGGACAGCCCAGGCCTCTACCCCTCTTACAGCCTCCAGTCTAGTGTGTGTGGGGGGGGGAAGGGTGGGGGGGGCATCAACCACATGAGTGGTCAGTGCTGAGTACTCTGCCCACAGGGCACCGGTGATTTCTGGGGGTACCATAGCAGCACACCATGCCTTTTCTCCTCCCCTGGTGTGTCCTATTTGGAGGAGCCAGCAGCGGACAGTTTGAGACACCTGCTTCCCTGGCCCCAGGAGCCTTGCTCCAGCATTCAGTTGTGATGTGATAAAGGCTTATGACTGCAGAGGGGTGGCAGCTGGGCCCTCTCCTCTGCAGATGATCAGGCAGCTAGGAGAGAGAGGGGTAGAGCAAGTCAGCTTTGGTGCCACCCCCTCTCCCCAGCCTTCTACCATCTCAGGAAAAAGTAGCCCAGAGGTTTAGGAAGATGCTGACGTAGATGGTCAGGGCCCCCCAGCCTGACTGACATGGCTGAAATGCACACTCCCTATTCTCCCTTGAAGAGACTGTTATCTTTCCTCAATGGCTTCCTGGCTGTAAGTATGTCACAATCCAGGCCCCTGGGCTTCACAGCATTTCCTCCACGGCTGGCTCCCTCGAAGACAGAAATAAGTTGATCCAAATTCATTGGCATCCAGATCTGTAGTCCCCAGGGGAGCAGGAGGGATGTAGGGCAGATGACGAGCAGCAGGACACGTTGGGAACAGGCATAGCCTTCATCGACCTAGATCTGGTAAAAATCACAGAAGAGTGTGATCTGGGGAACCCGGAGTCAATGGCAGGAGAGTTTGGCTCTAAGTCAAATCCTGCAGAAAACTAAGTTGTTTGGGGAGGGCAGGAGGGAGTCATCATTGTCTTGGCCCTTTAAGTTTTTCAAAACATTTTTTTCCTACAATAAAAATAACTCAGGGCCGGCCGAGTGGCACGATGGTTAAGAACTGGCTTGGGATGCCAGAGGGCCCCGGTTCGGATCCCACATATGAGGGCCAGTGACACTGCCCTCCACAGCTAAGACGCTGAACAACAGCTCAACCTGGAGCTGGGTTGCCATGAGTCACCGGCGACAGCGTAGGCTGCAGCCCCTGTGGCAGTGGGTTGCCATGGGCTACCGTGTGTAGCCAGCAGCCAGCATGAGCGGCCAGCAGCCGCAGTGAGCGGCCGTCCAGAAGCCAGTGACTGATCTGCCTCGCCTGGGAAGAGCGCAATGATGGTGCCAACTTGGGCCAGTGAAGCAACGTCCTCCACAACTAGACTGAAGAACAAAACGACAGCAACTTGTCTGTTCCCCTTCCCCCAATTCCCCAGCACTGTTCCCTTCCCCCCAATTCCCCAATAAAAATCTTTAAAAAAAAAAACACCTCAAAATGCACATTGTCAAGGAATAACAGCTTTTATAGTAGAACAGTATAAGGACAGGCTTCCAGGAAAGAGAAGGATATTAAATATCAATTATCTTCTTCTTACCTGTACTGTAACATTTTGATGGGAATTAAATGAGACAGTGCATTTAAAGGGCTTATGCCTATCATGGGAACATGGCTCAATATATATCATCATCATTAGATCTTTCCAGGCTTTTCTATATACATTTTAAAATTGACAAAGCAAACATGGGGTGATGTTACTTTACAATCTACTTTTTTTCCCCTTTAAAAAAAATTTAACTTTTCACCCCTTTCGAGTAGACTTTATTTTTTAGAACAGTTTTAGGTTCACAGCAAAACTGAGCAGAAACTAGATTTCCCGTATACCTCCTGCCCCCACACATGCATAGCCTCCCCCATTATCAAAGTCCCCAGCAGAGTTGTGCGTATGTTACAACTGATGAACCTACATTAACACATCATTATCACCCAAAGTCCATAGTTTACATTAGGGTTCACTCTCGGTGTACATTCTATGGCTTTTGATAACACATCCACCATTTTAGTACCATATTTAGTAGTTTCACTGCCCTAAAAATCCTCTGTGCTCCACCTACACACCCCTCCCTCCCCCAAAATCCCTGGCAACCACTGATCCTTCTATCATCTCCCTAGTTTTGACTTTTCCAGAATGTCACATACTTAGAATCATACACCATGTAGCCTTTCCAGATTGGCTTCTTTCACTTAGCAATATGGCTGTAAAGTTCCTCCGCATCGTTTCATGGCGTAATAGCCATTTCATTTCAGTGCTGATATTCTACCACCTGGCCGTCCCACAGTTTATTTGTCCATTCACCTGCTGAAGGACATCTTGGTTGCTTCCAAGCTTTGGCAGTTATGAATAAAGCTGCTAGAAACATTCACGTGTAGGTTTTTGAGTGGACATAAGTTTTCAACTCTGTTGGGCAAATATCAAAGGGCCTGACTGCCAGCCATCAACTTTTGAAAAAACATATTAATATCAAGGTATTAAAAACATCTTTCCATATCAATAAACATTATCCTACAATAGGGGCCAGCAAACTGTAGCCAGATAGATGGATACAATGTATTTGTGAATTTTTTAAAAAATTGATTACAAATTGAGTACAGCTGCTTGTGAGCTACACTGGCAGAGTTGTTATTTCAACAGAGAACTTACAGCCTGCAAAGGGACTTTTCAGGAAAAACAAATTGTCACTCTCTGTCCTACAGCATCATTTGAAATAACTGTCTAGGGTCCCATTGCATGGCCATGCCATGATTTACCTACTTGCTCTGTCTTATTGGTTGCTTCAGTTCTTTTTTATGTTTTCTCCTTAATGAACCTCCCTGAGCATCCTAATACTGAGGTAAATATGTGACTATTTTCCTTAAGCTGAATATCTAGATGGAATTTCTAGATAAAGTTTTTTACCGTAAAATCTTTAAGGTTTTAAATATGAATTACAAGAGTCCTCCTGCCCATGCACACAAAAAAAGTTTGTTGCCTGGCAGCAATGTATGAGAATGTTTCTCCACATTCTCATCAACACTGGGTATTGTCATTTTTTAAATGTTTTTGCTAATTTTATTGGCCTTCACGCTCTTCCTCTCTCCCCCGGGGAGAGTTCTATTTGTATACAACTAACAGACTGCTTTTTCCTTTCTGATTTCTGTTCTAAAGATTCTGGCATGATCCTCATTGGCCTGGGCATCTATGTCAAGTTCAGAGGTGCTGTCCTCACAATGGTCCTCGGGCTGTCCTTTGCATACCTGCTTCATGTTGGTTACCTGTGTCTGGTGATGGGCTGCATCACAGTGCTGCTTGGCTTTGCCAGATGGTGTGGAGCAACCAAAGAAAGCAGAGTCACTCTCTTGTTTGTAAGTTGGATCTGCACACAGGCCCAAAAACTACCTTCTCATGTATGAATCCTTCACTGCACATGCTGCAACCCCCTCCCATCCCCTATTTTACAGTGTTTATGGTGTCTCAGTTGATGTCTTCAATACATCCATCTTTTCCTTTATGATATGTCTCATTTAGAACGCCTTCCCTACCCAAGATCATAAATTACACTCTCCTAGGTCTTCTTCCCATAGTTTCAGTCTGCTTTCTCACTTTTAGCTCTTTAGCCTTCAGGAGTTCATATGTGTGTGGTGTGAAGTAGGGATCGGATATGATTTTTTTTCCCTCAGTCGGTGACACACTGTCCCCTTTACTGAGTGTCCCCTCCAGTCCTCTTCTGTTTCCAAGAGTTTCCATTGTGCTTGGGTCTGATCTGGGCACACTGCTCTTTCCATTGGCCTATGTGTATGTCGCCTGCTGACACAACACTGTAATCATTATACATGCACGAGTGCATGTTCAAGTACATGGGGTATGGAAGTTTCAAGCATTATCATGCAGGCAGCGTGTCGCAGGTTTCACATCTCTTATTCTCACATAAGCCTTGGCTAAACGTCTCCCCAAAATCCAGCTCCCAGCTTCCCTGTTCCCATTTCCCTTACAAGCTTGTCTGAGCGACATTCATAAAAGCAAAGTCCTGTGTTTTTTTTTTAAAGATTTTATTGGAGAATTGGGGGAGGGGAACAGTGTTGGGGAATCGGGGAAGGGGAACAGACAAGTTGCTGTCCTTTTTGTGCTTTAGTCTAGTTGTGTGGAGGACATCGCTTCAGTGGCCCATGTCGGTATTATCAAAGCGCTTTTCCCGGGTGAGGCAGATTGGTCGCTGGCCACTGGACAGGGCCACTCACGGCGGCTCTTGGCAGCTCATGCCGGCTGCTCACCACGGCTGCCAGCCACACACGGTAGCTTATGGCAGCCCACTGCAGTTCCACTGCAGCCTACACCGTTGCTGGTGACTCACAGTAGCCCAGCTCCAGGTCGAGCTGTTGTTCTCCATCTTAGCTGTAGAGGGCAGCGTCACTGGCCCATGTGGGATCCGAACTGGGGCCTTGCTGCTCAGAGCTGGTGTACCAAGCCAACTTTAAACCAATGTGCCACTCAGCTGGCCCAAAAGCAAAGTCCTTTTGATGGTGTTGGGAGCCACAGAGGTTCTGAGCAGAGGAGGGACTTGGGGGACTCAGGTGCTCACAAGCACCCTCTGGTGGCCTTTTGGGGGAACAGACTGGGGGAGGAACAGTGCAGGGACTGTGCTGGTCCAAGTGGGAGATGGCGGAGGCTGGGCCCCGTGGGGCTGTGGAGGAGGTGAGAATTGGCAGATTCAGGATAGATTCTGAAGATAGAGCAGAGCCACTGAAGATAGGAATTTCTGATGCCTGGTTATCTTAGTCACCCAGAGGCAGAGAGATAGTAATATTGATATTAATATTAATCCTCATAATCTGTTACATGAACCTTTCATCTGAGGTCCCACAACTGCTAAGCCCTGCACCCAAGTTTACCCCTGTGGGCTGTGGGGACCCCAAGGGTATAGCCACTGTACTTTCCTGCCTCTCTGTGACAAGGCCTGATAAGCCCTGTCATCGACCAGTCGGTGACTCAAAGCCTGAATTATTAAACAGGTCTTAATAATAATAATAATAACAACAACAACAATAATAGGCATAAATGGAAATAGATGAAAGGGAAGCCAGGTGCTGACCTTACTTTGCCCCCATCTGGCCTCAATAAGCTCCACAAAACCCTCTGAGACCCCTGGGACTGGTCCCATTACTACACTGTACAGATGGGAAAACAGGCCCAGGGAGGAAAGCAGCTTCTCCTTGATGGGATAGCTCGAAGGCTTACCCTTTGCTGCCGAATTTCCCATTGTTTTCCACTGCGCAAGTGAATTTATTGGAAATGTTAGTCAGCAAATGTGGATGTTTTCCTTCTGACATCCACCGACCTGTCACCTGTCCCTCCCCCTTCAGTTCCATCACCCCTGCTCTCACATTGGTGGGTCTGCGGCTTCTCCCCTCCTCCTGCCTCTGTTCTGTCCTCCCCACCTTCCCTTCCCCACCCCCTGAACACCCCCCCACACATCCATGCACACAGCTTTTACTTCACCTGGAGGTCCTCACTTAGGCTTCTCTGACACATATAGGTCTCCCTGACACACATAAAGTGCTAAGCATAAAATCGGGGTCCAGTGAGGAGTGGCTTCTAAGAATACCCCACTGCCGGCATCTTGGACGATATGCAGGAAAGCAGCACATGAAAAAAACAACATCCCCCTACCCCCACGCGGGGGTGTGTGAGTTCTTTCAAACTGGGGAGGTCACATGGCCTGAGGGGGGGCAGGAACTCCCAGCAGGCTCCCAGCCCCCTCCACATCCTCTGTGTCTCCCAGTGCTTCTTGTGCTTGGTTGTCGTTCTCATCGTGGAAATCACAGTCGCCACAGTGATTCTTGCCTTCCTCCCAATTGTAAGTACAGTGCAGCTTCTCCCCTCTGTATTGGAAGTAAACAGAATCAAGGGAAGCCCTCCTCTCCCTCCCCCACCGGGAGACACTCAGACTCTGGGCTGCTCAGCAGAGATCCCAGATGGCCAGACCACTGGTCGCTAGGTTGGAATATTGGGCCTCCAGGGATGGGGTGAAAAGCCGAAAACCTCAGCTCTCCCCTCAAGACCTCAAGAAACTAGCTCAGTTATTGTGACCATCTCTCCTGCATACGGTGGTCTGGTGATAAAAAGAAATGGGAAAAACTGTAAAAGTTGTCAGGGCTTTTGAATTATGTTGAAAACAGCAAAACCCATCAAAATGACAAAGATGGACACTTTGGCCCAACCTTCCCATTTTTAGGAATTATCCGAGGATTTGCTTGTTCAAGGGAAGAATGACATAGTACATACCAAGATGTGCAAAAGATTGTCGTCGTCCCCCCCCCACCGGCCTAGTGGGTGAGATTAATTTATAATAATTGTCACAAGGGAGTCCATCTGATGCAGGTGAAAAGAGACAAGACGGGCTTCTGCACAAGATGGTGCATTTTTCAGGACATAGCAAGATCCTCATTTACGTCCACCCAGAGGCCAACTCTGAGACAAGAATTTGAAGGCTCCTGGTTTATTTGAGAGCTGAGCTTTAGAAGGCCCTGTAGGGGACAGGGAAGTGAGGCAGGGAAAGGAATGCAGTCCATCAAAGGTGACAATGTGGGCAAATGGACTCAGTTCTGCTGGGGGACATCTGGGATACATCGCCAAACACACACCTTTTTTCCACTCAAGGGATGAGGGAGCTGTGGTACTGACTCACCACCTCCATCAGTCATGGCTTGAGCGCTGCTCCTGGAGCACATGTGGCAGAGAGGCCACAGAGAGCCTTCTCTTGCTGGCAATGGGAAGCCAAACACAGTGGGCACAGAAATGACAAATGCCACTGGGACGCCAGCAGGGCACCAAGAGCAATTGCTACTTCTGGGGAGAACAGCCGAATGCAGAACAATAAAGTCGTATGAAGCAAGGAGAAAAAATTATAGAATATACTTTGCTTTGACACACATAGAATATCTGTTTTGGGACACAGAAAACAGTGACAGTCGTTGTCGTGGAGTGGGAGGAACTTGTTGGCTGGGAGAAAAAGGTGGGAGGGAGACTTTTTCATGGTCTACCCTTCTGATGTTTTGTGAAATTTGAACCATGTGACTTTGAGGGGAAAATGTTTTTATTTAGACTTTTATTTAAAAAATAGAAAATTAAAGTTTCCCCTTTTTTTGTGGAGAGAGAGAGAGAGAGAGAGAGAGAGAGAGAGAGAGAGACAGAAAGATTGCGATTCAGTTGCTAAAAATTACGTTAAAGTCTTTAATCAAGTTACAGCCAAAAAGGAGGAGTGTAGCGGGTGTGTGGGCTGTTTGAAAGAGCAGATGATTCAAACTCATTTGCGATGGGTAGGACCAGATGCGCTCTGATCGAGACCCACGCTCTCCCCTGTGTCCCTCCCTCGGGAGTGATGGTAGCCTGAGTTTGTCACTCTCCAGTGCAGATCCAAGGCTGAGGGGAGGGAACTAAAGTGAAGGAAGCAGACGGGAAGCCCCCACCTCCCCACTATGTCCCCAGGAAACCTCACCAATGGGCCACCTTGCTATTTTACGTGCTCATGGCTTTCTGTTTCAAAGAGGTTGAAGAAGTGGCCCTGGAGCACAACTACAATGAGCCGGGTGACATTTCCACGGAATGGAACATGGTCATTGACAATGTGAGATTCACGTCTTTTTTTAATGTGGTAAAATATACATAACATAAAACTTACCGTCTGAACCATTTTTATGTGTCCAGTTCAGTGGCATTAAGTACATTTACATCATTGTGCAGCCATCACCACCATCCATCTCCAGAATTTTCTCATCTTCCCAAACTGACACTCTGTCCTCATTAAACACTCACTCCCCTCCCCTCCCCCAGCCCCTGGCACCACCATCTACTTCCTTCTCTATGAATCTGACTCCTCTAGGGACCTCCTGTGAGTGGATTCACACAGTATTTGTCCTTCTGTGTCTGGCTTATTTCACTCAGCATAATGTCTTCAGGGTTCATTCTTGGTGTAGCAGGTGTCAGAATGTTCTTCCCTTTTAAGACTGAATAATCTTCCATTGTCTGGATGGACCACATTTTCTTTATCCACTCATTCATCGATGAACACTGAGTTGCTTCCACCTTTTGGCGATTGTGAATAATGCTGCTATAAACATGGGTGTACAAATCCTGCTTAGGTGTTTGAGATCCTGCTCTCAAGTTCTTTTAGGCACACACCCAGAAGTGAACTTGCTGGATCATATGGCATTTTATGCTTAGTTTTTTGAGGAATTTCCACACTGTTTCCCACAACAGTTGCACCATTTTACATTCCCACCAGTAAAGCACAAGGGTTCCAGTTTCTCCAACACTTGTTTTCTGGGTTTTTTTTTTCGTTGTTGTTGTTGTTGTTGTTGTTTATCGTAGCCATCCACGTGGGTGTGAGATAGTGAGATTTATATCTTGAATCTTTTGTTTAAGGAGCAAGACCAGCCTCCATGTGTCATCTAAGCTCCTGGGGCAAGCAGTTAAAGGTCTCTGAGGCCTGTTCTTGGGGATGTTTCATATCTAAGTCTTGGGCCCAGGAATTACTTGGGGTCATGTGGAGGCTTGGGAAAGGGCACACAATGGGTAGAGGGCTTGCCTGCATCCCAATTTTGGCTTCTCAAGCTTGAGAGAATAGAGAATACCTCTCATTCATTCATATAGCCCTTCAACTAATCTTTATGAGCACCTACTATGTTCTGGGCACTTTCCAGGGCTCTGGGGACACAGCTGTGCACAAAACAAAATCCTTGCCATTCTGTTGCTGACACTTGAGTGGGGAGACGGACTAGAAGCTATCAAGAAAACATTGGTGTCAGGGATGATAAGTGCTATGAGGTAAAACAAGGCAGAGAAAAGGCATAGAGAATGAGGGTTTTGTTGACTCCTAAGTGCTTGTCACCTATTTTCAGCACAGAGTAGAAAGGCCTGTCCTATTCTCTTGTAGTTAGTTGCGGGTCATGTGATGAGTTCTGGCCAATCAGCTGTGAGCAGAAATGATGTGTGTCACTTCCGGGCCACATTAGTTAATTGCCGGTGTCAGGCCCTCCAGAGCTCTCTTTCACATTGCCACAATAGTGGAACCATCTAGACGGTGGCTACTCCATCCGCCTGAATCCCTGAGTGACTTTGATGAACACAGTTCCCCTACTAAGTTGTGATGGGCATATGGTATGAAGAGAAATGAATGGCTGAGATTGAAGGGCTGTTTGTTATGCAGCATGACTTAGCCCAGACTGATGGATTTAGGGGTTGTGGCTAATTTGGAAGGAGGGGTCAGGGAAAGCCTCCCTGAGGAGTGACACTTGAACAGAGACCTGAATGAAGTGAGGGAGGGAGTTGTGCAGATATTTGAAGGAACAGCATTTTAAAAAGAGTGAAGGAACAGCCTGTCCAAAGGCCCTGAAGCTGGCACTTGCTTTGTGTGTTTGAGAAACAGCAAGGAGACCAGTGTGGCTAAAGCTCAGCGAGTAAAAGGGAGAGTAGGGGGAGATGAGGGCCTGGAGGTAACAGGGCAGGTCGTGCAGAGTGTTGTGGGCAGTGGTGAGGAGTTCATCTTTCACTCCAAGTAAGATGGGGGACCATGGACAGGTCTGAGCCATGATGGGGGGCCAAGGGAGGCATTTAGCACAAGCCCTGGAATATTGTGACCGTGCTAGACAGTAGCCATGGTGACTGATTTCTACTGTTTTTGTTACTTTAATATTTGGAAGGAAGTCTTCAAGTGTTTATTCTCTCTGCAGCTGAAGTGCTGTGGAGTGAAGAACTACATAGATTTTTCTGGTTCCTCCTTTGAAATGATGACCGGCCATGCCTATCCAAGGAGCTGCTGTAAATCCATTGGGACCGTGGCCTGCAATGGGTGCAACGTATCCACAGGTGTCATCCACCAGGAGGTAACCTGAGATTTTTTGGGGCATCACCTTGTTAGACCCCAAGGGCTGGTGACTTTTATAAAAATTGCATATTTGCAGGAACCCCAGCAAAGGGGGTCTGGGGAGAGGGAAATCAACCCTCATTGGGTGTTCAGCTTATTTCATCCACACAGCCTTGGGGAGTTAGGTTACCATCACCGTTTCACAGATGGGGAGACTGAGACTCAGAGAGGGAACATGAAGGGCTCGAGGTCACATGGCTTTGGGGTTTGAATCCACGTTGGCCTGAGTCCATTGCCTGGGCCACACTGCCTGCCATACAGAGAACTTAATCTTCAACAGCAGTGATGAGAAATGATCATCCTAGTGATAATGAAGGCTGTGCAACTGGGCACTCACTTTGTCATTTTTTTGTTTTTGTTTTTTTAGCTGAGCCATCCTTTCACCTGTTGGCAGCTCAGCAGCTGCTCAGCTCGGGCCGGAACTCGAACTGCTGTTGCTCAGAGCTTGCACTCTTGAGCGAGCTCTTAACCAAGTGAGCCACTCGGCCGGCCCTAAAAAATTATCTGGGGAATGGCAGGTTTTTTTGGTTTTTTTTTCAGTAGGCACTCACTTTGTGAATTCTGTCCCTATCATACCCCTCCAGGTGGGGACTGTGCTTCTCTATTTTACAGATGAGAAAACTGAGGCACAGAGAGGTTCCCACGGCCAGGGCATGGGGAGCTGGGCTTGAAACCCAACACCCAGCTTTCCCTGACTTCTGCCACAGGTGAATGCACACAGGGATCTTCTCTGAGGGAGAAAATAGGAATCATTCATTAGTTCATCCATCATCCTGAATGGCTCCTGCTGGGAGCTGAACCCTGCAAAGAATTGGCTGGTCGAGTCCCTGGTCAGGGCCTCAAAAATAAACATGGGGCTACATATACACTAGCCCACTGGGTCCTGCACAACCCGAGTGTCACCTCCTGATGTCCTCTCCTCCCACTCACCCCTCCCTTCATTCTGTTGCAGCCACACTGGCCTCCTCACTGCTACACAAACACACCAGGCACATGCCAGCCTCAGGGCTTTTGCAAAGGCTGTTCCTTCTGCCTGGAATGCTCTTCCCCTAAATGTCTTCCTACCTCACGGCTTTCAAGTCTGTATCCATTGTCACTTACTTAGTGAGGCTGTTCCTGATCCCTTCTCTATAACAGGATTTGCCCCCAAATCACCATCACACTCCATCTCCTTACCCTGCTCCAGTGTCTGTCCAGTGCTTAATCACTACCTATTTACCTGTTTCTCCCATTCAAATTTCAGCCCCACCGAGGCAAGAATTTTGCCTGTTTTGTACATTGTGGCATTCCCAGTGCCCAGTCCAGTGCCCAGCAAACAGAAGGCACTTAATAAAGGCTTCTTAAGTGAAGGAGGTCACTGAACTGCCAACACTGAGCTCAAGGCAGCCCAAGCTTCCAGAAAAAAAGAAGTGCTGGGGGGCCTACAAGGAGGAACATCTCAGTGACTCCATCATGTGGAGTGCAGGCCTCGTCACCTGCAGGAGACTGCTCCGCCCACCCACTGTCTGGTCTCTTAATCTCTCTGAACCTCAGTTTCTTCACCTGTGAAACAGAGAAAAGAAGTCCCCACCTCATGAGGTTGTAGTGAGAAATTAATGAGAAAATACATGTAGAGATCTGAGAAGGTGCTGGATGCATGTTACCCTTTTTGTTCATATGTAACGATCACTCAGAAATAACTAACAGTTACTGAGTGCTCCCTCTGTGTCAAACCACTGCTGGGTTCTTCATGTAGATTCTTTCTCTTTAACCACACAAAAATCTTGTTGGGTCACAGTTGGTCACATTTACAGTTGGGGAAACTAAGGCAAAGAAAAGAATAGTGACTTCCCCAAGGTCACACAGCTAGTAATAATTCAGGACATCGCCCCAGTTGGACATCAGCACAGATGAATACAAGGGTGTTCTGGGGTGTGTGTGGGGGGGGCGGTGAGGAGGCCAGGAAGATGCTGGGGTGTTGGGGGAGGATAGTCAAGCAAGAAGGAGCTAAGGTCCTGTGGCTTTGTCTCTTTATCCTCCCTAAATCTGAGAGCTGTTTGGGTGGCCCAAAAGGGGTGGGAGGTGATAGGGCCTTAGAGTCTACAAGCCCCTAACCAGGTCCTGCCTGCTTGGATATTTGTATCCTTAGGGCTGTTTTCCCAAGCTCCTGAAAATAACCAAGACTCAGAGCTTCAACCTGGGTGGGGGCTCGCTGGGGGCAGCAGTGATACAAGTAAGGCCCAGCACCTCTGGGACACACTGAGCTCTTTTATTGAGCACCTACTGTGTGCCAACCACTGTTCTGGGCACTGAAGACACAGCAGTGATAAAAGAAAAAAAATCTCTGCCAATGTGGCACTGACATTCAAGTAGGGGAAACAGTAACACATGGTGATAGAATAGGGAAGATTAGGGAGGGCCTCTCTGAGGAGGTGACAGTTGACCAGTGACCTGAGGAAGTGAGGGAAAATCATGTGTGTGGGGGGAAGGCAGAGGGAACAACTGGTGCAAAGGCCCTGAGGCAGGGATAAGCTTGACTTATTCAAGGACCAGCAGGGAGGCCCCTGTGTCTGGAGCAGGATGAGTGAGAAGGGTGGTAAGGGGAGATGATGGCACGGAGTTGGGCGGGGAGATCATCCAAGGCCCTGTGGGCTGCAGAGAAGGGTTTGGCTTTATTCTGAGTATAATAGAAAGCCAGTAGAAAGGTTTTAACATTCACTTTTTTACTCTACAAACTTAATTGAGCACTTACTATGTCTCAGCACTGTTGTAGGCACTGGGGATACAAGGAACTAAACGGACAAAAATCCCTGCCCTCATGAAGCTGAACTTCTAATCGGCAGAAAAAGACAAGAAATATGATTCTTTAAATTGGAAAATGTATTGTATGATAGTGATAAGTGTTCAGGAGAAATACAAAACTGAGAAGGTGAGAGGGGAGGTCATTTTAAGCAGGGTGACTTAGAAAAGGGGGAAAGGCATGAGGGTTCTGGGGCTCAGACCTGATTCAGGTGAGGAAAAACTTACTCTGGGGATATGCTCTCTTCATCCAGCTAATGAGTATATCCTACATTTCCTTGTGGGTAGGCCTGAGCGGGCAAGGGGTGGGGCTCCAAACTTTAGTCCTAGTTATGTCACTCACTAGCTGAGTGAGGACCACAGCCTCCTTCATTTGTAAAATGGGCTGCCCCGTTGTTTGTTGCTAGCATTGATGAGGTGGAATGCATCACAGGCTTGGCACAATGCCCTGTGATTCTGGGAAGTTATTGTCATCAAATCGAGGGAGGTCTTACTGGAGGCAGAGATAATAGGGAGGCAGTGGTGGAAAGGTGATGAGTTCTGCATGCACCACTAGAGATGCTCAAAGGCCTCTCACTATTGAAACACTATGCACAGGAGCTATTCTCATCCTGTCCAAGGTGCAGATCTCTGCTCAGAGCCAAGTTCAGATAAGCCCCTGGGAGAAAAATATATTCTTTAAAACTTTTCTTCTCCTACCTCATTTAAAGACAAGTGCATAAGGCAGTAACTATAAAACTGTGTTGATAGACTTATATTAAGATGTAATTCACATGACAATAATAGCACAAAGAAGGTTAGAGAAAAACAGAGCTATATGTAGGCTAATGAAATTAATTTAGTATTCATTTAAACTAGATTGTAAAAAGTAAAGCTGTTATTTGTAATCCCCAGGGCAACCACTAAGAAAATAACTGTAAAATATAGTAAAAGAAACAAGGGAATTAAAATGGTGCACTAGAAAATATCTAACACAAAATAAGGTCATGGTGGATGAATAGCAGAATAAGAACAAAAAAAGCAAATTGACAACACATGGCAAAATGGCAGCTATAAGTCCTACCTCCTTAGCAATTACATTAAGTGTAAAGGGATTAAACCACTTAACAGTATACTTTAGAAAGGTGAATTGTATATATAGGAATTACATCTCAATAAAACTGTTAATTTTTAAAAAAAATTCTCCACCCTTTTGAGCCCCTAATTTTTTCTCCTGTGCTTCTCCCACACTGATTTTCAATATGCAGTAGTGCTTTTCTGCAGATCACCACCATCCAATATATGCATGAGTTTCATCTGCCTGATTTGTATTTTAAAAGTGGGCATTTTTTTATTGTACAAATTTATATTGAATGTGTGTTTGCAAACTATTGCATTGTCAGAAAAGTCATGACGTATTTTTTCTATGTTTTTCATTGCAAAAAATGCGTCATGACGTTTCCGACAACCCAATATAGCACACTCTCTTCCCCAAAGAGGTAATAACAGTCAGGATCCCAGCTGGAAACAGAAATCAGCCCCCAGATAGTCCTTTTAAGAAGCTTCAGGGGCCTCCTTGCAGAGGTGTGGGTAGGGTTAAGGAAAATAAGGGATGTTGAGGCACTCATGGGCTAGCAACTTGGGTAGCTTCTACTTTTCTTAGGCCTGAACAGGTAGGGAGAGCAAGAGCCAAGGAGGAGGGACCATCAGGTGGTCTTGGAGAGTTCAGGATGAGCAGAAGAGAGGAGGGTATAGGGAAGAAATACTCCAACATTTCCTCTCACTCGCCCATCTCTAATTAGTGCTTCCTATTGGCCAAACCTAACAGGAGCTGAGAGGGCAGGGGTTCTGGGAAATGTAGTTTTCAGAACCCAGGAGGCAAGCAGGAGAGTCGGGAGATAAGACCTGGGGGAAGCAAAGGGAGAAAGACTAATGTGCCTCATGAAAGGCCTCCGCCTTCTACCCACCACTGAGATTGACTGTCTTAACAGGTCCAAATTATTTCCAACTTGACCCTGAGGGACCTTGGCCATCTCTAAAACCCTGCCCCTGACCTTTCTGGAACAGGATGCTCCGCATCTCCAAGTACCCAATTTGATTCAGGTTTCAGAAGTCCCTCAAGTTGGTTCAGTGTTTCTTTCTTCTCCCTTTTCAGCTGCCAGGAATTCTTGACACCTTGTTGCTGTTTGTCAAGCTGGGCTGACAGACCTGGGGAAGACGGGACAACTGGGCCCACCTGGCTGCTGGAGATGTGGTCTCTTTTTTTTTTTAAAGATGTTATTGGGGAATTGGGGGAGGGGAACAGCGTTGGGGAATCGGGGAAGGGGAACAGACAGGTTGCTGTCCTTTTGTTCTTCAGTCTAGTTGTGGAGGACATTGCTTCACTGGCCCATGTTGGTATTATCATTGCACTCTTCCCAGGTGAGGCAATCACTTGCTGGCCACTGGATGGCCGCTCACAGCGGCTCTTGGCAGCTCATGCTGGCTGCCGGCCACTCATGTCGGCTGCCAGCCACTCATGGTAGCTTATGGCAGCCCACTGCAGCTTCACTGCAGCCTATGCCAGTGACTCACGGCAGCGCTGCTCCAGGTCAAGCTGTTGTTCACCATCTTAGATGTAGAGGGCGCAGCGTCACTGGCCCTAATGTGGGATCCGAACCGGGGCCCTGCTTCTCAGGCCAGCTCTTAACCATCGCGCCACTCGGCCAGCCCACTCATTGCTTTTTGAAGGGAGATTGTAATAACAGATTTGGGAAACCCCTGTCATCCTGACTCCTTTCTTTTTTGTTTTATTTTTTCACACTAGCTGGCAATTACTTTAGTTTTAAGTATCTGAGGGGTGACACAGCCTGCCTTCTCATGTACCTGTCTTGTTTTGTAAATTATTTTGTGAATAAATATATGGTGATGGAAAGAACTGGCTCTGGGTAGTGAACACACAATGTGATATATAGATGATGTATTATAGAATTGTACACTTGAAACCTATGTAATTTTACTAACCATTGTCCCCCAATAAACTTAATTTAAAAAAATTATTTAGTGAAAAAAATCTAAAGTGTTCACAGAAGATAACTCATCCAAAGAAACCCCCACATACCCATCACCCAGATCCAGCAATCACCAAGAGTTTGACATTATTTGTTTCATTATCTTTTTTCCCCCTTGAATTTAAAACAAATCCCAATGTCATTTCAACTCTTCATATTTCAGTGTATATTTTCAAACTGTATACATTTGTGTTCACAATCCTAATAGCATTATCATACCTGATTGAATGTGTGTGTCTCCCCAAAATTCATTTGTTGAAACCTAATCCCCAAGGTGATGGTATTAGGAGGTGTGGCCTTTGGGAGGTAATTAGGTCATGAGGGTAGGGCTCACATGAATGGGATTAGCACCTTTGTAAAAGAGATACCAGAGAGCTACTTTGTCCCTTCTGCCATGTGAGGACATAGTAAAGAAGAAAAAAAAAAAGCCATCTATGATTCAAGAAACTGGTCCTCACCAGACACTGCATCTGCTGGCCATTGATGTTGAACTTCCCAGACTTTAGAACTGTGAGAAATAACTGTCTGTTGTTTATAAACTACCCAATCTATGATATTCTGTCATAGCAGTCCAAACAAACCAAGGCAACAGATAAGATAATTAGCAGCCATTCCTTTCCATCACCCAACACCCAGGCCCGTCATCGAATTTTCCTAATTGGCTCCAAAATGTCTTTTTTTTAATTTGGTTTCTTTGAACTGGGATCCAAACAAGGTCCACACATCACGTTTGATTGTCTTGTCGTCTACATCCCTTTTATTCGAATCCAGTAGTTCTGAAATTAGAGCATGCACTAGAATCCTCTGGACGTTCTGTTAAAGCACAAGTGTCTCCTCTCCCCCCAGCTTCTGCCTCAGATCTGGAGAGGGCCCCAGGAATCTGCATTTCTAACAAGTTTCCCAGTGATGATGCAATGGCACAGGGACTACACTTTGAGAATGGCTGCTCTAGATTCTTCCTCCTCTTCCCCAACAACTCCACCTACCTTTGACTTGTTCCAGGAAGAGTGAGGAACTCTGGGAATTCCCCACCTTCTGGATTTGCTGCTGCTGCTCTGTGGTTCCTTTACCTTGTTCTTCTCTTTCCCATATTTCCTCAAGTCACTTGTTCTCATCTGACTGCACATTAGAACCCCCTGAGAGCTTTAACAAAATACTCAAGACTGGATCTCATCTAACTGAGCAAGGGCTCGCTTCCTGATGTGCATAGAAGCCAATACTATGGCACCCTCTTTTGAGAAAAGAAAGAAGCTTTTATTTATTGTGAGGTGGAACGGCATGGAGAGACGAGGCAAGGCTCAAACCTGTCTCCCCAATCCAGGGTTCAGAGCAAGATTTAAGGGGTTTCAGCACCAGATCTTCCTGGACAACGGACCCTTCAATCCTGAAAGGGTTCCAGCATTCAGGTTCTGGTCATGTCCCAGTCTTTGGTTTCCATGGGGGGAGCAGTTAAGCGTTCACTGGTGTTACTCGTAAGTGGTGTACTCAAGGTTTAAATTTGGTTCTCGATCTTGTTAGAAACAGGATAGGACCAGTTTGAGCTGCTTCTGCAGTTACACCATCTCCCTATCTTCTAATTTAATGGACCTGGGCTGTGGCCTGAGTATGAGGACTTACAACATTTACCCAGATGCTTCTAAGGCAGCGGTTCTCAACCTTCCTAATGCCGCGACCCCTTAATTCAGTTCCTCATGTTGTGGTGACCCCCACCATAAAATTATTTTCGTTGCTACTCTATAACTGTAATTTTGCTACTGTTATGAATCATAATGTTAATATCTTTTTGTTTCCCGATGCTCTTAGGTGACCCCTGTGAAAGGGTCATTTGACCCCCAAAGAGGTCGCGACCCACAGGTTGAGAACCGCTGTTAAGGGGTGGCCATGGTCATAGCTGAGAGTAAATAACCCAAGGGCTTATTGATCCTATTGACCATAGCAGCCTGAATCAATTCTTTCATTGGGGATTGCAAATGGTTGTCTAATTTTCCCATCTTTCTTTTGTGGAGATTTTGAGGATCATAAAATTGGTTCATGTCATATTTGCTATTGCTGCAATCTTCTCCCACTACGGGAAAACACACCTAGTTTTTTTCGAAACCAGCCTACGTCTCACATTTCCAGCACTAAGCCAGGGCTGACATGTGATCCCAGCCAGCCAATCAGTACATTCCATCTCTCTGACGACAGTCATTGGTCCAGTCATGGGCATGAGACCTAAGCTGGCCAACAGACCTGTTTTGGAACTTAATCTAGGGTGACCAGGAGAGAGCATCTCCCTGAACTCACCTGATTCAGAGGGGACCACCTCATTGGGGTGAGACTGCAGAAAGAAGGCACAGAAAGTTGAGAATCCTGGGACCATATGCAAATCTGTGGACCTAGCTGGCTCGGGCTCTGCAGTTCATACATACTCACGAATACTCAACAAACATCTATCCAGTGTCTGCTGTATGTCAGAAATAAACTGTTTTAACTCATAATACTTATGACACCCAATGTGTGGGGTTTTCCACAGCAAGCAATTCTCTGTGGACATCAAGGGGGGGGAGGTCCCGACAATTGAATTCAATTCTGATACTAACTACCCAGAGTCCACATCAGAAGCCGCAGTTTTAAGGGCTCAGTGCCACAGGACTGCCCTCATTTCAGATACCAGTCCCAAGTACCGAGTCCCCACATGCGCCACTCTCCTGTCAGTTTTGGCTACAAAGTCAGGGGGTTCCCGCCATCTTCCCTACATTTCAGGTTTGATAAATACAATGACTCACAGAATTCAGGAAAGTGCTTTACTTGCTATTACGTTTACAACAGAGGAAAAGCCAGATGGAAGAGATGCACAGGGCAAGGTATGGGGAAGGGGCGTGGAGTTTCCGTGCCTTTTCTGGGTGTGCCATTCTCACAGAACCTCAAAGTGTTCACCAACCCCGAAGCTCTCTGAACCCCATCGTTTAGGGTTTTCATGGAGGTTTCATTGCCCATTGTTGATTAACTGAATCTTCAGCCTCTCTCCAATCTTCAGAGGTGGGGGGTGGGGGGGGGTGGGGCTGAAAGTGCCAGCCCTCCAATCATGGCTTGATTAGACCAACTCCCATGCTGAAACTACCTAGCTGCACAACCCCACCCCCGTCCTGTCATTAGCAGCAAGGAGGCCACTCTGGAGATTCCATGGGTTTTAGTAGATGTGTGCCAGGAACCAGGGACAAAGACTGAGTATTTCTTTTTTATTGTATCAGACAGGAAAAGCTGGGTGCGGTGGTGAAAAAAAAAAAATCCCTGCATCTGAGGAGCTAACATTACAGTGAAGGAGACACTTGTTTAAGTTAAATGAGTAAATGACAGAGTATTTTAGAGGCTAGGGCCATGGGAAGGGGTCACAGGGAAAGAGGCATCAGAAATGCTGGGGGAGGGGTTGCAGTACTAAACAGAGAAGGGTGCAAAGAGAAGGCGAAATTTGTGGACAGACCTGAAAGAGGAAGTGAGGGAAGCCACGTGACTACTTGGGATAAGAGGGTTTTAGGCTGACAGAATAGCCAATGCAAAGGCCCTAAGGCAGGAGCCTGGTGTGTTCAAATTGCAGCAAAGAGGTCAATGCAACTGGAGCAAAGCAAGTGTAGGGGGCAAGTTAGAAGAGCTGAGTTCAGGGAGGTGACAGGTAAGATCATGCAAGACCTTGCAGGCCACAGGAAGAACTTTGGCGTTTAGTCCCAGTCAGGTGGGAGCCATGGAGGGTTCTGAGCAGGACCTGACCAGACTCAGGTGCTCACAGGTGCCCTTTAGCTGCTGGGAGGACAGACATTCCTAGTAAGATTAGCTGGGGCAACACTATCCTCCCTGCCCTCCACAGATGAATTTTCTAGGGCCAAGGTGGCCATGAGTCCCTGCTAGACACAGTCCCAGGCCTGAGCCTCACTGGCCTAATCTGGGATTTGCTGCATCACACACGGTCCTCAACCAACCATCTGCTTGGCTATGATTCAATAGCCCTCTTCCTGGAAATCACATTTCACTAATGGAAATAAGAACAACCGCATCTGGGCACAACGGCTTTAATTTTTTTTTTCTTGTGAAGAAAAGTGCACATCTTTCCAAGTGTACATCAAAGAATTGCTTATGCAGGAGAACCACATTTAGCATAGAAATGAGCAGCAGGTCCAGAGTTCACTCCGTAGTGTGTTTTGGGATCGTGGGGGGAGAAGCCAGTTAGCGGAATTAGCATTTCAACACTGAGACCAAATTTCACCCATTACTTGTTTTTCTAAGTCGAGCAGGAGAGACAGACACAAGAACGTGATCCCCAGAGAAGCCACAAAAAGGAAAAAAGCAGAACCCCAAACCACGGCGGCCAAGGCAATTTCCCACCAAACCACCTGTGGAAAGACAAGTTGTTAAAAGCAAATGATAAGAAGGGACAGCCTGGATGCAGGACCCAGCCTCAGGCAACAGCTCTAGACCCCAGCCTCCCTATAATTGGGAGGTGGTTTTTCCTACAGCCTTTGGTTTATTTTTGTTTGTCAACCAACCTCCATCCCCCACAGTGATCTGTGAGGACATCAGTTTCTGTTTCCCAGAGACCATCTTGAGTTAAACCTTCCCCCCCAAACATCATAAAATAAAAACTTGCATTATTTATTAGAACCACAAAAGAATTCTACACAATTCCCAGTCTTGAAAGAAACTGAGGCGCTGTCTCTGTTGCTACTTGAAACTGAACTGTTAAAAATCTTGTGTAAACAGAAAGCTTAGGCCGGGTCAGGTACAAGTTACAACCACAGCTGGTTTTATCACATGTGTGGTAACAACCACCTCATCCCTAAGGCAACAACTCTCTGACCCACCATTTTTTTCTGGCAGCAGCTTAGGGAAAATGGACTGGCCACAGCATCTAGACAGGCATGGTGCATCTTAAGAAGGCTTTTTTAGCTAATTTAACTTCACTTTTACATGAAAGCAACTAACGTTTTTTACTTCCACCCCAAACATTCAGATTCTCTCACTTTGTGGATTTCCAGAAACTTGTCCATTCACCATAGTCATCTAATTTGTTGGCATACAAAGATATCCTCACTTTGGGGCTTTCAGGGAAGACCTAGTATGGGGTAAACAGGGCCCTCTAGAAAGAAATTCAATCTAGAGCTTCTATAAAGGTAAGAGCTATGTTAAACTTAAACCAGGCTTTCCCCATGCCCCAAAGAAGGAGGCTGAGATCTTCAGGGCTACAGGAGGTAATTTTGTGGGCTGGGGCTGGCAGTGGAATTGGGAACACAAACCATCAGCTCGAGCCACAGCGTCTGTCAAATTATGGGGTGTCAGTTAGTGTTCCAGGGCAGAAAGCGGTGCCATGCCACTGGAGTAGGACTTCGGTGAGCAGGAAGGGCTGCTGAGCTGGGAACCCCAGCCTCAACCAGGGAGCCTGTCCCAGGCCATCCCCCATCAGCCTGCCACGCCCAAGCTATGTTGTGAAGTACAAGTGACAATAGCAGTTACACAACCCTACCTTCTTGCCCCTCCAGCCCAAACCCAAAACATTCCTTAGAGCAGCAGTTCTCAACTTTTCACAGGGGTCGCCTAAGACCATTGGAAAACACATGTTTTCGATGGTCTTAGGAACCGAGACACCGCTCTTCTATCCGTCTCCAGGCTCACATGCAGATACGCCCACATACGAGTACCTGGCGACCCCTGTGAAAGGGTCGTTCGACCCCCAAAGGGGTCACGACCCTCAGGTTGAGAACCGCTGCCTTAGAGTGACTTCTCCACTAGCAGAAAACGTCCTATCACTGGGCCTCACCAATGACATGGCTCAGGAAATGAACACTGCATCTTCACTGGTCCTCAAGTGGGAGGAGCCCAAGTGCTTATACCAGACAGTCAACAGCGAGCACAGCCTATGGGAACATTGCTCAATTTCCTTTTCTAGCAGGATGTAAGATGTGGAAAGACCTTGCTTAAAACATCATCAGTCAAATGGGCACTGGGGAGGCAGGTCTGGACAAGAGGGCCCAGGCTCCTGGCTCTCAGGTTAACTCCTGGCACAAAGTCCTGAGCACGAAAGCCAGGGGCTGGGTGATTCTCTACCTGGCCTGACACGGTACATAGTTCCAGAATTCAATCCCGGGTCAGGTGCACCATGATAAGCCAAAACAGTGTCAGGGTCATGGGTAAATTCAGGCAAAACTCAAAAGGCACTTCTGGGGTCCCTGAAGCCAGGGGACAGGCTCTGACTCCCTATCCTTTGACAACTGGAAAAGCTGCTTTAATACTTTCACAGGCAGAGGATCTGCAAGCCAGAAGGGAGGGGTCTGCCAGGGTCAGTCACCTCCTTTGCCTTGGAGCCTTCAGGTCTAAGGAGGTTCATGGGCAGGCTTGGGGACCCTGAGCAAAGAGCTGCTTTCCATATCTCTAGGGATGAACTCTGAGAACCCACATGGCAGGGGGAAGAAGACAAACCATCTTCGGCCAGCGCGTGAACTCCAGACAATGCCCAATACAGAATGGATGTGGGCAATGGCTCTAACCCAGAAGGCACTGTGGAAGCCCCTTCACCAGCCAGGGTGGGATAGGCTATCCATGCTCCCCCCATTAAAACGCCTGAAAAGCAGCAAGCTCATGCATGTCAACATTCCCAGACCCTGCCTCTAATGCAGAGTCCCCAGGGTCTGGAGCCTGTGACAGGGGCTGCTTGGGCAGGCTGGTGGCCATGGCAAGAGAACAAGTCGCACGGAAGTGGGGGGCAGCTGCTGACGCTGATGGAAGGGAAGGGAGCACCCTGAGCTTGGAAACAGCCCTTGTGGCTTATGCCTCAGTCACAGTCTCTGACAAGGCAGGAGCGGGTGGCCATGGGTTGGGGATTATCTCTAGCAGCTGCAGCCACTGGGCTGGGGAGGTGGGGCATCCCCCAAGGCTGGGCCTTTCCCATTGCTGCCTGGGCTGGAGCTGGGTTCCAGGGACTCATTCATCTTCTCGCAGATGACGTCCACCAGGCGCTCGAAGACCTGCTTCACATTGATGTTCTCCTTGGCGCTCGCCTCAAAGAACTCGAAACCTGGATGGACATGGGTTGGGGGGGTACACCTGTGAGATCCTGAGGAGCAAAGCCTGGGCTGTGGCATCATACAAATCTGGGTTCCAAGCCCGGTTATGCAGCTGTGGGCGCACGGCTGAGTACCTTAGTCTGAGCCTCAGTTTGCCCATCTATAAAATGGGAACCATGCTGATAAAAACCTATGGTACAGCCCTGGTCTGAGGCAGTGGCTGCAGCTCAGTTTCCCCCCAATTGTGCTGCACAGGAAGATACAGTGAAGATATTTATGTAGACTTTTGAAATGTAGCCAATTATTTCACATGTTCTGAAAAACGTGTTCTAGACCAAATAAAACACAGCTGAAGACTGGCTTCAGCCTGTGGGACCACCAGTTTGCAATCTCCATTAGGCAGGTAATGGCAGCTTCCTAGTGTTTGTGGAGAGTGTGTGATGCTCACAGTTCCTGGCCAACAGGATGCACTAAAAATGGTAGTAATAATAATAAGTGCTTACATCATGCTTACTATGTGGCAGAGACTTTTGTAAGCACTTTACATAAATGAAAGCATTTAATGATGCTCCAAGGTTCATCCTATTATAACCCACTTTACAGATGAGAAAACCGAGGCACAAAAAGGGAAAGTCACTCATCTAAATTCACATAGGTAATGCGTGGCGGAGCTGGGATTCACACCCATGCTCAAATAATAACTGGTAGTAAATATTAAATAATTTAAATATAAATAATAATAAATATTCCTAGTGCACCACCTTGGGCTCCGGGACCCAGGGTAGGCTGGCTGACTCCTCTTCGGAAGGGGGGATGTGAGGTTGCTTTGAGTACATTCTTAGAATCACAGTGACCATCGTTAACTTGTTTGTCCTCCCAAAGGTGGGAGGTGGTACAAATGCTTTGGGGATTTGCCCAAGGTCCCTCAGCTACAAAAGCTGGCCCATCATCCTGAAAATAAGGGTGTACATGATGATCCTTCCTGCACCCCTAAAAGGCTGCTTCAGAATCTGCCTGCAGGGAGCTATCTCTGAAAGGTGCCCGATGTGTCCTCACCTGCTGCACCCGCCAAGGTGGGCCAGAAATTCAGACAAAAGCCCACCATATTACACACAGGGTAAATGGGTCTCTATCCTGGCACTTGTCATGCTGCACTACAAAAATGTAATTGTAACTTAATAGGTGTGTAATTATCCATCTCTGCTACTACAACACAGGCTCCAAGAGGGCAGGATTTCTGTCTGCCTTGTTCACTGTGCAGCCAGTGCCTGGCATGAAGCAGGTGCTCGGAACTACTTGCTAATAACTGGATGGATGGATGGATGGATGGATGGATGGATGGATGGATAAATCAATGAATGAATAAATGAATGACAGAGGCAGGGCACAAACTCACATATACTCTGAGCCTAGTGATCATCAATGCCACTCCGCTGTCTTCCTGGGCAAATCTGGCATTTCCTTATCCATGTGTGTCTCTGCCTCAAATAATCTGAGTTCTTTTTGCTTTAATGTTTTTTTCTGATTATAAATATTCGCTGAAGAAGCTACAAACTGCTAAAAAATATCAAGACAGATATAAAAACTGTAAGATCACAAAGCGATCGAGAAATAATACCAATTAATGTTCAATTGAGGCCAGCGTTCGCTTAATCTTTCTAACAGCCCTATGAAGTAGACACTGTTTTCATCTCCGTTTCCTAGGTGGAGAGATGGAAGCACAGAGAGAGGGAGGCAATGTGCCCTAGGTCACACAGCAGCGGTTGCAGACTGGGATTCTAGCTTCAGAGTCGGGGTCCTTAACACGCCCTCCCTACAGTAGTTAAACCACCTCCCGCAAGGAAAGTCCTGGCAGAGCCTAGACTACTCCAGGACAAGATTTTTACTGAACTTAAATTTTGACTAGATAATCCATTCACCTGATTAAAAAAGATAGACTGAAAAGTCCCCATCCAACCCTGGTGCCTGGCCTCCCAGTTCTTAAGCACACAGGTAACCGCTGTTACAAGATCCTTCTGTATCTTTCCAGAGTTCCTTTAGGCAAGCGTAAGTATACATTCTTATTCTCATCTTTTTTATACGCTAATGCAGGTGTTGGCATACTTCGAGGTACAGGCAAAATCTGGCCCATTGCCTGTTTCTGTAAATAAAGTTTTCCTGGCAGACAGTCGTGCTCATTCATTGATGTATCGTCTATGGTTGCTTTCAGGCAGAGCTGAATAGTTGCAACAGAGACACTACAACCAAAAATATTTCCTATCTGGCTCTTTAAGTAAATGTTTGCTGATCCCTGGACTAAAGGAAGCAGCCATACCCACTATTCTGCAGTTTGCTTTTCCCATTTAGTTACATATCCCAGAAATCTGCCATAACAGAACATAAAGAACACCCTCGTCCTTTTCATGGCTGCATAATATTCTACCGTGTGGCTATACTTTATGTTTTGCTGCTTCCTCCACTGTGAGACATCTCGGAAGTTACTCAGGTTTCCCTGCTACTAACAGTACTGCAACTTGATATGGTCACCACTTCCCACATGGGTGAGATGTCTGTAGGATAAACTTCCAGAAACAGTTTGGCTGAGTCTGGGTTCCCAGGGATGCGGTCAGGAAGAGGGGGCCTGTGGATGAATCCCCTAGAATTAAATGGAGAAAGTGGCATATATGTAGGCATTTTTCTGGGCAGGTCCTCAAAGAGCAAAAGGTTGGTGACTGTAGTTGGACCTGGGATCGGAGGATAGGGGTTGGGGGTTTGGTTCTGGGAGGTCCAGGACCTATGGCCCAGGTTGAGCACTAACCAAGGTCATCGGCGAGCCTTCGGCCATCCTCGGAAGGCACAACACGCTCATCCTCTAGGTCACATTTGTTCCCCACGAGGATGACCTGAGCATTGTCCCAGGAATACGTCTTGATCTGTGTGGCCCTGTGGAGTTTGAGGGATATTAGGCCAGAGATTTGGGGTCAGAGGAGAGGGCAAAGGTCAGGGGGTCAGTGGTCAGTAAGCACTCACCAGTCCTGAACGGCGGTGAAGGACTCCTGGTTGGCAACGTCATACATAAGCAGGAAGCCCATGGCTCCTCGATAGTAGGCTGTGGTGATTGTGCGGTAGCGCTCCTGGCCCGCTGTGTCCTGCGGAAATAGCGGGATGAGCCGACTGCAAGTCACACTGTTCCCCACCCCACCCCTGCAGGGCCCTGTCTGAGGTAGGCATCGCCCTGTGCTCACAATCCCAGTCTGATGAGCGAGAGATGGACCTGCCTTCACAGCCCCAGTACAATGGAAGCAACACAGAACTGCCCACATAGCCCTAGTCTAATGGGAGAAATATGGGCCCGCCTGCACAGCCTCCAGTCTGATGGGGGAGAAATGAGCTTGCCCTCACAGCCCCATTCTGATGGAAGAAATATGGACCTGCCTGCACAACCTCCAGTCTGATGGGAGTGACATGGCCCTGCCCTTGAGGAGTTCCCAGTCTGAGGGGTCAGTGACTGCTTATAGACTTGTAAGCCCCTTTGACTTCATCTCCAAGAACCAACTTAATAACCACAAATAAAAGCCACCTGGACCAGAGAGTACCATCTTGGTGCAGACACTCTGGTGCTTGTTACCATAACAATCGTTGCCAGAAGCTGTGTTGGGAGCAGGGGTGTGGACACCCGGCAGGTGCTTTGGGGGCCTTTGGGCTCACACCTGACATGGTACCCAAACCTCTTCCCCATTACGCACCAGGACTTCTAACTGCCTTGGGTTAGTACGGACTCCCACTCAGATATCACTGGGCGGTGCATATCCCCTCTTGCTGATGAATTCATCTCATAGATAATACCCCCATAACCTTCACACCTACCCCACACGCGCCCCACCCTGACTCTGGGCCATTCTCCCTCACCAGGGACCCTTCCCCACAGCCCTACACCCTCACAGAGACTTCCCTGGAGGAACCCCAGACCCTCCCTAGCTGCAGACCCATGGACAGCTAGCTGCCCAGCCCACCCAGATCTGCAGTTTGATCCTCTTGTCATGGCGGTAGACAGTCTTGACCTTGAAGTCGATGCCCACAGTGCTGACGAAGGCAGGTGTGAAGGAGTCGTCTGCGTAGCGGAACAGAAAGGATGTCTTGCCCACACTGCTATTGCCAATGAGCAGAAGCTTGAACATGTAGTCAAAATTCTGGTCTGCTGCATCCCGTGGGCCTGTCGGGGGGTCTCCAGCTGATGCCATCCTGGTGGGGAGCCTCCTGGAGGGAAGCCTGGAGCCCTGCAGGGAAATAAAACACCAGTAATGGCTTCAGTGTGTACACCAGACCTGGGTTCAAACTCTGGATCTGTCACGTGGAGGCCAAATTACCCTGAACTGATCACTTGCTCTCTCTAGAACTTAGTGTCCTCCTCTGGAAAATGGGGATGCTTGTCAAATGCAAGGACCCAGGATGGAGAGTGCATGGGGTGCCTCCTCTGGCCACTGAGGAACCAGACCCAACAGAAGGTGCAAGTGTGGACTTTGCCCCCTGGTGAGCAGCTGGTGTGGCCCAGGTGTGAGTTGGAGGGAGGGGGCCCTGCCAGCTGGATAGAGCCTCCTGGCCATCCAGGCCTGGGTGTTGACTTTGGCAGGTATCAGCCACCAGCAAGGTGCCTTCCCTGCCCCCACCCAAGCCTAGGTTAACCCCCTCCCTGATCCCCATGGGGAGGGGGGTTTCAGTGGATCCAGCCCAGGTTTAAGCCCTGCTCTGCCTCCAAATGGGTACTACCACCTTCTGTTTGTCAAAGGGGCCTGGCCCATCTCGCTCTGGGTAGAGCTGACTCACACCAGCCCGTCTCAGCCCACGGAGGCCGGGGTGACAGTCCTCAAATCGAAGGAAACCACCCCAGCCACCTAATAATCAAGAACCCCACCACCAGGACAACCACTCCCTTCCACCCCTGGTCCTGTCTTTCCTGGTACTCTGTCCCCACAGCTGGGCTGCTTCATTTGGGTCCAGGACACCCCCTCAACCCTCATGGCCTCAGTTTCCCCAGCTGTCTATGGCTGTTCCGGAGCTGCACAGGTAGGTTCCAGAAGGCCTAGGTGAATGGAGGGCACACCCACAGAGGAACCCCTGGCAAAAGTTTCTCAACCGCCTGTGGGGCTTTTTTCCATTTTAAAGGAGGACACAACCGGCTCCCCTTTCCTGCACAGCCCTCAGCCCCACCCCGTGTTCCGGGAGAACGAGTTTGTGGAGGGGAAGAGGAGACAGGAAGTCTTTCCCCAAGCTGGGCAGGGTTGCCAGGCTGGGGCCCCCGCCCCACCCCCAGCCCACCTGTCTGACCACCCCTTTCTGCCGGCCCCAACTCTTTCTGACCATCTATCGACCCTCCCTCACGCCTAGCACTAGGTAAGGGTCCTGGGATTCGGCCCTGTCTCCCTTAGCTGGACTTGGGGCGTCCCAGCCGGTGCAGGAGAGCTCATGAGTTTCCTCCCATCACCATATGGTCCCATCTCATGTTCCCAGCTGGGCTCTCGGCACCGCCCGCGCCCTATTAACGCTCCCAGATCAGCCCAGCTGGGTGGGGGCGAGGTAACGGGGGGGCCCCAGCCGCCGGCCTTTGTTCCTCCGGGTCCCCCCCCAGGACACCCTGCTCCCCGAGACCTGCTGGGATGCGAAGGTGCGGGGTGGGGTGCGCTCCCTCCAAGGGGGTCACCTCGCGTGGGGCGTCGCTGCCCGCGGGGGCTCCGCCTCCGAACTCGCTGCGGCTTAGCCTCCGCTGCGACCCCGACCCCGCAGCTACCGCCGCCGCTGCCCGCAGCCACCCGGATCCCGCGCCGGCTCCTCCCAGGCGGGGGAGGAGGGGCCGCACCCGGGGTAGGGCGGGGCCGAGTCCGGGGTGGGGCTTGTGGAATGTGGGGGGCGGTGCCGCGGTCTAGAGCCCGCCCCCCAACAATAAACGTTGTATTTGTCCTATCTAAAGGGCTTCTACTATGAGCAGAGCGGTTGAGAGCGAGGATTCTGGAGCAGGGTTTGAATCCCAGCCCCACGGCTTTCTGGACATGTAACTTAACTTTTCTGGGCCTCAGTTTCCCCTACCGTCAAGTGGTTGATAATAAGAGTCTCCACCTCACAGGGTTGTATGTGGTTCTGATCTGAATGTGTTTGTAAATTGCAGCGCCTGACCCTGAAGTATGTAGATCCCTTTGCCAAATAGCCTTAAGGGCCATTGGTATTAATCCCCCTTTTACAGCTAAGAAAACTGAGGCTCAGAGAGGGGCAGCCCCTTGCCTGAGGCCACGGAGTAAGGAAATTTGGCACATCCAAACCCAGCTGAGGACTTAAGAGTTTTCTTCAAGACAGCAGGAAAGGATCTGCAGTTATAATAATAGTTCAAGCTTTGTTGGTGTTCAAATTCCAACAACTCCACATGAAGTCACTTGCTGAACTTCTCTGAGCTCCATTGCTTCATGGGAACAGCAGGTGCCTCTAAGGACTGCCATGAGAATGAACGGAGATGACATACATCGGTCAGGAAGAGCTGACATATACTCAGTAACAAGCTGCCCCAAAGCTTCCATGGCAACCAACACTCAAGGTTTGCTTCTCAGTCACACTGGTCATTGTGGTGAAGGGAAAATGTGGTGAATCATGCACTGGCTTGTACAGTAGTCCTCTCTTATCCGCGGTTTCCCTTCTGTGGTTTCAGTTACCTGCAGTCAACCATGGTCTGAAAATATTAAAAGGAAAATTCCAGGAATAATCAATTCATAAGTTTAACATTGTGCACTGTTCTGAATAGCATGATGCAATTTTGTGCCATCCCGCTCCGTCCCACCTGAACGTGAATCACCCCTTTGTCCAGCATATCCACGCTGTGGATGCTCCTCACCCAACAGTAACTTGGTAGCCATCTCGGTTATCAGATCAACTGTTGTGGTATCACAGTGCTTGTGTTCAAGTAGCCCTTATTTTACTTAATAATGGCCCTAAAGCACTAGAGTAGTGATGCTGGCAATTCAGATATTCCAAAGAGAAGCCATGAAATGCTTCCTTTTAGTGTAAAGGTATGTATGTATAGGAAAAAACATAGATATATAGGGTTTGGTACTATCCATGGTTTCAGGCATCCACTGAGGGTCTCGGACTATATCCCCCGTGGATAAGAGGGGGCCCATTGTACACTTCTCTTTGGAAGTGACTTGTATTGTCTCTGCTCACATTTCATTGGCCAAAGCAAGTCACATGGCTACCCCCAATGTCAGTGGGATGGGAAATACTCTTGTCCCCTAGGGACCAGAACTAGCTATTTTTACAATACATGGTACATGCAATAGGTAGCTCCATGCCTGGCATACAGTGGGTGCTTAACACATGGACACCTTTATAGGAAGAACTTAGGGACTGCAATAGCTAGCACTCCAAATCATCACGCCTTGCGAATGGGGAAACAGAGGCCCTAAGCTCCACCTTTGACTGCACTACCCCCTGCTTCCCAGTTGGAGACAAATGAGAGCAGCCATTCCCAAAGAAGGATTTATTGCTATTTGGGTTCCCAGCAGGGACAGGGAGGCAGTGGGTGCTAGAGGCTCCTGAGGCCCAGGGCGAGGCCAGCGAGACAGAGCCCATTGCTCAGGAGGCAGCCCAGATTGCAAATGGAGGACAGGCCATGGTAGCGGAAGAAGATCTGGCGGAGGGCACTGTACTTGGGATCCTGTGCCCGCAGCTGACGGTAGGGGTCAAGGTCCTGGTGGTGGCCTGGCACCTCCCCACCCAGGCCCCGCTTCTTCTCCACAGTCTGCAGGGCCCACATGGCAGCTGTGGTGCGGGGCCCCAGCCAGCGGGCATTGATGGTGGCCAGCGTGAGGCTCAGGAGCAGCAGGCAGAGCTGGTGGGGGTGGCAGGAGGAGGACAAGGTGAGCCATGCCTGGGAGGCAGGAGGGGCCCTCCACAGGATCCTTCTGCATCCTCAAAGCCCAGAGGAGGATGGGAGACAACATAGGTTAAAGCCAGGCCTCCTTCTCCTTCTCTAAACCCAGACCAAGGGCCCCAACCAGAACGCCAGCTCTCATACCCTGAAACCCGCAGGAAAGCCTCCATCACCATATCCTCTATATCCCCCCGAAACCTTCTGAGCCTCCTCTACTCTGATACCCACACTGGAAGTTTCCAGAACATAGCCTGTCTCCACTTCTCCTGTTCCCCCAAACTGAGGATATCTCAGGACAGAACCTCTCTTCCCCGAATCGGGACAGAGCACCATAACTGTCCACTTGTTACCCCAAAACAGAGAGCCTGTAGAGGACCCATCTCCTCTGTGGCCCCAGCCAAGACCCCAGAAGCTGACATTGGGCCCTCAGGGGGTGAATAAAAAGTCTTTAAAGTTCCAGTTACCCATAATCCTCTCCTGTCTCTGTAGGATTATTCTTGAAACCCCTGTCAGGCCTTACCTGCCCACATAATGGGGGCAGAGGGAGGGCAGGAGAGAGAAATACAAGATGTAGAAATGGTCCCTTGCTTTGTGGCTGGGAAAAATATGTGGATGGGGGGATGCAAGGGAGGGGACTGTAAATTCCCAGTCAGGCTGGTTTTTAAACAGTGAGCTGGCGTCAGTGCCCTAACCCAGCTGAGTCACCCCAGCTTGGCAGCAGGCCCAGCCAGAGGGAGGAGAGGGAGCAGCAACCAGCAGAGACACACTGGGGGATAAACAGGGCCGCTAGGGATGGTTGTGCAGGCTGTGTACTGCTCAAAGGTATCCAGAGCCCAACTTTGTATCCACCAGGAAGAAGGAGCAGTTTCTGTTTAATTTTCACAAAGGTGTAGCCATAGGTGCTCAGTGGGGTCCTGGAAATGAGGGTAGTGAATCCCAAGCCCAAATACCTGGCTGGCCTCCCAGAATGTGAGCTGAGCCCAGGTGTGCTGTGGAACCAAGATGCAGAAGTTGACGAAGGCACAGCCCATGGAGATGTGAAAGTAGAAAGGGAAGAGTTTACTCTGCACAAGGCCGAAGGTATGTCGGGGAAGGCCTCGGAAAAGAAGGAAACCTGTGGGTGGAAGGGACCACATGCCTGTCAGGATACTTCAGGTCCCCATTTCATTCCTGTCCCCATCCGGGGTACCCATGATGTCCAGGCCGAGGGTCCGTACCTGAGATGAAGGTCACCCATATTTGCATACCCCAGGCCCCGGACAAGACCAGTAGATGGACCACCTTAACCAGGCTTCCCAGGTTCCCGCCTTCCTCCATCTTGCAGGCCTGGGAAAGAGGCACCGGGTGGCTCAGAGCTTTACCTTTGGCCCGTGGCCTTCAGACCCTGTGAACCTGCTCAAGGCCAGGGTCAAGGCCAATCCAGCTGAGATGCAGGGATAGCAGCCCAGGAATGGGGGTGGGGAAGATCCAGAGCAGTCCTGCAACAAACCTCGACCCCATCTCTCCAAATGTAGGCTTTCAAGATCTCAGGCTCTTTGGACCTCAACATCCATGCCACTTCCGAGACCCCCAAATGTTGGCCCCAGCAGCCCAAGCTCGTAGCCCTAGGTCTTCAGAGATCCCACCAGTGACTCCCAAATATCATCCCGGGACCCAGTTCTAACAACAAAAACTCCTGCTCTCATAACAAGATCTCAGATATCGCTATGAAGCTCCCCAAAGCCCCATCTAATCCTGGGAAACCCCCAAATCTCATCCTGAAGACACCGACCCCACCCACCAGTAGGAATCCAGACCTCAGCCCGCAGCACCCGGGAATCCGGGATCAGAAACGCCGGGGCCGGATCTCGCGGGCCAAGCGGACTGGGCTCGGTACCTCACTCCCGCGGACTTCCTCCGCAACCTCTCCTCTTGGGACCCAGAACTCGTCCCGCCTCCCAACTAAACCAGAAGCCAATCCAATTGTAATCTGCCTCCTCCTGTACCGCCCTCTTATTAATTGACTAATCGATTAGCAGAAATCAGCCTGAAATTCCGCCTCACAGAGATTTTATCCAATTACACGGCGACTTCCAGGCGGAAAAGAGAAGGCGCCAATGAGGTCTTAACTGCATCGGAGGGGGCGGAGCTAAAATGTCAGCCACACCCCTCTCTGTGACTACGTCTGGGCTCCGTGCGTTTTAAAGCGATGGTGCCCCACGGGATCAAATTTCAGCGTCACAGCTGGGGACTGGTTTCGAGGTCCCTGATGGGAGAGCATGAGCAGGTGGTATGTGGTAGGTAGGGGTGAAAGGGGGTCAGAAGCCTCGTGGGCGCAGGATTAAGGGCCCGAAGGGGCGTGGCCCAGGCTAATGACCCCGTCCCTTTCCCCCAAGAATTTTCCCGGTAGGAACTTCGGGAGGAACATCTGATGTGGGAGGAGGAGGGAGGCTCGACTGGGGATCTGCCTGCTGTTGGCGCTCAGAAATGCGCCTTCCCTTTGCCCTTACAAGCTTCCCAGGGCTCCTGTGATCCCCAGGTCCAGGTTCTCAGCTTGATATTCAAGGACAAACACTGAGTTTCCCACTACTGTATGTCAGGCAGTGACATAGATTGACTTATTCACAACAACCCAATAAGGTGGTAGTATGATAGCTCATTTTTATAGTTGGGGACATTGAGGCATGGAGAGGTTTAGTAACTCTTCCAACATCACACAGCTGAGAAGGGGCAGAGCTAGGATTTGAACCCAGGCCATCAGTTAGAGGGTCTCCAGTGGCTCTTAAAAAAGTAGGCTAGAACATTTCAGACAAAAGAATAACTCCTACACCACAGGGTGGGTGTCAAGACCCAATGAGTGCTAAGAGTGGTGCCCAGCACTCAGTGAACTGCTCAGTAAATATGATCTTAAAAAAGGATGAAGGAAGCTTTTACAGGGGCGATGCTGAGTAGGGTTTTGAAAGGTATATAGGAGTCTCTTAGGAGGACTGAGCAGAGGAAGGACACCAGAGAGCCCAGCAAAGGCAGAAGAACAGTAAAGCCTAAAGCAGGCCTTTTTGGCTGTGTGACCCAGGGCAAGATGCCCTTCACCTGGCAATTTTTCCAAACAGCCCTGTCCAGGTATCTCCACCTGCCAGCCCTGACTACACTGGAAGGACAGGGGGTGTGGATACAGGACCCAGAGCTGAGTTCTTTCCTGTTTCCAGCCTCACCTAGCATAGGCCTGGACCCCAATTCAGCTATTATTTATTGAATAGATATGCCCTGCCTGTCCTGTTCACACACTATGGCTCCCATTTACTTGGGGAAGCCAGATCCAAACTCCCCTGCTTGGTTTTAAGTGCCTTGCTTGAGCTGCCCTGCTAACTTACTGTTGCTTCCTCTTGGAGCCTGCCTCCAGCCACCCTGAATTTACCAGTACAGAACCCATGGTTCCACACCTCCAAGCTTTTGCACATGCTCTTTCCTGCCAGGAAAGCCCTTCCTGTAGGGCCCAATGTTAAGATCCTTTTCATCTTTTAGGCTCTTTTTTTCCTTTTAGGCCCCTCACTTTCTCCTCTGAGGTCTTCTGGGTCCTCACTGCCCAACCCAAGCTTGGGGCTGGGATCATCTTTCATCGAGCTTCTACCAAAACTGGGAGGCCCTGTGTTCAGGGCTGAGGCCTTTGGGGTGTTGGGGGGGAAAGTCTGGGAGTGTCGGACATGGGGTTTGGCCTCAGTGCAGCCCCTGTCCTCCCTATTCGAAGCGACCCTCTTCTGGCTGGCCTACCCCGGGACACTGACTACTCTGTGCCCTGCTACTGCTCATCTCCCTCACCCTCCAACTCGTGTTTGCTTGCTAACGGGAAGTGTGACAAGTACTGGGGTTTGTTGAGGGGCTGCCCCAGGGCAGGGGAGTCGGGAGGGCCTGGAGTGCTCTGGGCTGGCCCTCAGGAAGCCCTCATCCACACACCCCCAGGCGCTTCCTCAGACAAGATCTTGGACTATACAATTCACTGGCCCAGGACCCCAGAATCAGAGACCTTGGGGTCACTTGCTTCAGAGAACACAGTGACGAGTACAGACTGGAGGACAGAGAGGAACTCGGGGCCTCGGTCGCATGGGTCCCCTCGCTTCCCCAACCCAGACTCACAGGAGCGCTGTAATGACCAGGACCTTGTGAAGAAGCATCAGAGCATCGCTAAGGTCACCCCCACCTGGGGAAACCCCTTCCTGATGCACTGCAATCTACTGCTATGGGGCTTAGGGAGGGTGTAGTGGGGCAGGGAGGTCCTCCTCAAGAACCCCCACTACTGTGTGTCTTCAGCACTGAGAACAGCTCCCAGTGCTCAGCAGGCCCTCACTGAAAATGTTTTAATGGATGCGGGAATGAATGGAATGGATGTGCAATTGTGTGTCGTAGTGGGGTCTTGTCTGTGATTGTCTCTGGATATAACTGCCTGTGTGTCTGTGTGATTGTGTGCCTGAGATGGGTGTGAGGTGCCTGGGTCTTACAACTTAAAGTACATGGCTGTGTTTGAAGTTGTGTGTGTGGCCGTGATTGTGTTTTGACGACCAGGTGTGATTACATGTCGTGTGCTATTGTTGCTGCCCGCAGACATTATCAATGTCATTTGCCCCTAAGGAGGAGGGCCATTTCCTGAGCCCAGGCCAGAGACAGGGCTTTGCAGGTGCATGCTGTCATGGCCAGCCCACAGACCTGCACATGTAGGGGACAAGCCGCACAAGTGCACTTCTGAGCATGTGCAGGCCAGGGGAGGTGCCTGCATGTGCCTGGAGGCAGATTTGCCTGCACTCGGGGTCAGGGACACCCATAACTCAGCAGACCCAACAACTCATGTCCAAACCCCCAACACTGGTTTGGGATGAGCAAAGAGGCAGCCCAGGGATGAATTTCTACTGCCCTCGTGTCCTCCTTCCCTAGAAGCCGTTAGAGACCAGTTCTTCCAAAGTCAAAGGTGAGAACCCTCCCTCCCAAGAAGACTATGGGTGAGAGACCTGCCGGTTCCTACTTCCAACCTCTGCCCCAGTCTCTGTGGAACTCCACCATCCCTGCCCCAGCATTAGCTGACTCTTGCCCCTGACCTTGCCCTCCATCATTGTCCCTGACCTTGACCCCTACTCCTGCCTCTACCTCAGCCTCCGTGGATCCCTGTTCCTGATCTTACCCCCTGCCTTTATCCCTACCCTGAGCCTCTGTTGATCACTGCCCTGACCTTGCCCCTGCCCCCACCCCTCCCACCCTGGCTGATCCTCACCTCTGCTCACAGTTAAGTCCGCCATGATGATTTCTGACACCCAGAAGCTCCTGCAATGCGAACTGGAGTCACTCAAGAGCCAGCTACAGGCCCAGACCAAGGTGAGCTTCCTCAGCCATCCCTGCCCCCAGAAATCTCTGTCCCTGTCCTCCGCCCCCCACCCATCCCCAGGCCTAAACTCTTCTCCCACAGGCTTTCGAGTTCCTAAACCACTCAGTGACCATGTTGGAGAAGGAGAGCTGCCTGCAGCAAATCAAGATCCAACAGCTTGAAGGTGAGAAATGGCTAAGGGTCAAGGTCAGGCTGGAGGCTGTTGGGGTCAGCTGGGTCAGGGTGAGAGAAGTGGGTGAGTCTGGGTTCAGGGTTGGGACCCGGCCAAGCTAGGGGAAGGTGGTTCAAAGCTGGGTTCAGGGTGTAGTTGGGGCTCAGTCAAGCTCCCACCTTCTCTGCAGAGGTGCTGAGCCCCACAAGCCACCAGACAGAGAAGGAGGGACACAAGTGGGGCGTGGAGCAGGGACAGCAGGAGCTGTACGGGGCTCTGGCGCAAGGCCTGCAGGGGCTGCAGAAGACCCTGCGCGACAGTGAGGAGGTGCAGCGGGCCCGCACCACCCGCTGCCTGCAGCTGCTTGCCCAGGAGATCCGGGATAGGTGGGTGCTGCCAAGCAGGCAGCCTGGAGGCTGTGGGAGGGAAGGGAGGCCAGGATGGGGAAATGAGGCCTGAGTAAGGGGGATGAGGGACTATGGAAGGCTTGAGGAACAAGAGGAAGGGATGTGGGGGGAAGACAGGAGGGCGTGTGTGTGTGTGTGTGTGTGTGTGTGTGTGTGTGTGTGTGTGTGTGTGTGTGTGTGTGTGTGTAAGACTAGGAGGCCAGAAGGCAGGGAAGACAGGAAGCTGGGGGTTAGAGAGGTTTAGCGGGGCTGGGGATATGGGAGGTGGGGGGAAGGGAGGTGGTGGGCAGAGGCTGGGGAGATGGAGGCCAGGCAATAGGAGGCTATGGAAATGCAAGAATGGAGATCAGGAGGAGATGGGAACATGGGAGGTGGAGGAAGTTTGGGGAGGCAGGTGGGCAAATGGCGAGCCAGGAGGGGGCTGGGCAGAGGCTGGGGGTCTAGGCTACACTGTCTCCTCAGCAAGAAGTTCCTGTGGGAGGAGCTGGAGCTGGTACGGGAGGAGGTGGCCTTCATCTATCAGAAGCTCCGTGAGTGCCCAGAGCCCACAGCCCGGAGGGGGGGTCTTTCTGCGCCCTGTCCCCCTGAGTCCCCTCCCCCCACAGAGGCCCAGGAGGAGGAGATCACCGAGAACCTGGTTAACATCCAAAAGATGCAGAAGACCCAGGTGAAGTGCCGCAAGGTGAGAGGGGAGGACGGGGACCCTGCATGAGCTGGGGGTATGGAGATCTCTGCCGGCCTCTACCACTGGACTGGAGCCAAAAGGCCTGGGCTCAAGTCTCAGTTCTGCCACTTACCGGTGTGTGACTGGGCAAGTTTATTCATGCCTCTGGGCCTCAGTTTCCTCATTTGTGCAATGACAACACATCCCTACCTGAAGGGATAGCTGATGAACTGAGTGTTAAGCCCTTTGAGGGCAGCCTGACGTGTAATAAGTACCATATAATGGTCACCTTGCGTCATCATCATTATTATTACTACTGATCTTCTCTCACCCCTCCCACCCCACTCTGGGCCCCAGGTCCTGACCAAGATGAAGCAGCAGGAGTGTGAGACATCCAACTGGCCAGAGACAGAGGAGATGCCACCAGGAGGCAATGGCTCCTGGAGGAATGACCTCCAGAAGGAGCTGAGTGACATATGGTGATGCCCAGCTCCCACTGTGACCTCTGATCCCTGACCCTCATCTGCCCTGTCCACAATCAGATCAAGCAGCGACAGTCAGAACCTGGAACCCACCTGATTCCAGACCTTCCTCTCCAACCAGGACTCCACTCCTCCCCTGCCCTGCCAACAGCCCCCCGCCCCAGCCCCAATCAGTCTAGAGTCACCAGGGTCCGCCAGCTCTCCATCTCCCCACAGGTCTGCTGTGCATGTGCTGCAGAACTCCTTTGATGGCCTCACCATGTCCTCAGGGGTCCGCCCCAAGGCTGCGAGCCTTAGGGGTAAGGGGGGCTGAGCCATGCTCAGGGTGAGGAGGGCGGTCATTCTCCGGCTTCACGCATGGAGGTCATGTTCAAAGTTCATATTTGGGGGCATATCTGTTGGGTCTTATTCTTGGGTCACATTCTAAGGAGCCTCCTCCAGGGGTCACTCAGGGTCACCGGGAGTTTTTTTTAGGGATGAATGGGGTAAAATTCAAGGGTCATTGAGGTCACACTTTGGTGTCACACTAGGTCACATTCAAGGGATGTGATCAAGGGACATTGGCCCCTAGTCACACGTCACTCAAAGGTCACATTCAAGGTTTGTGCATGGAGGGCCAGAATGGCACCTGTCGCTTCTGCAGGCTACAAGGGGCACCGATGCCTGAACCCTCTGCTCTCCTCCTGGGACTCAGACTCTGACTCTGACCAGGACCCTACCCAGCCACCATTCAACAAGAGCCGCTCCTTCCCACCTGGTGTGGATCCTCCTCTGCCTCACCTTCCCTGCCCATTCTGGCCAGCCCTGGAATCCCACATAGTGGACCCTCCCAGCTCCCAAACTGGCACCTGCATGCATCCTGATCCCCAACCCTGGGGTCCACTGGACCAGGCCAGGCCCTTATCCATCCTTTCTTCCCCACAGCCTGAGCAGCTGGGACTGCTCTCCCCGAAGACCCTTCCAGAGAGAAAATAAACTAGCCAAGACCCTCCTCCACCTGTGGACTGTTGCTTCTGTTGCTTCCTGTGCCTGAAAATACCGCCCCCCCCCAGTGTTGGGGAGGGTGCAGAGACCCCAGGGGCTGTTCAGGATGTGTGGGCCTAGCGTCAGGAGACAGTGTGAGACCAGATTAGTATATGACAAGGTCAGGGGTAAGTCTGTCCAGATATGAGTGGCCAGACAGGCTCTTTCTTCAAACAAGCCACCAGCCTTCATTTCTGGGGGGCCTTGGCTATTTGGCCTGCTGCCCCTACTGCCCAAGTGGGGAAACTGAGGCCAGAGAGGGCTGACCTTCCGCCCTCCACTTCCCCTCAGCGAGTCTTCCCTCCCAACCTCTATCCTTCATTCTTTCCCAATTCTAACACGCCCCTCCCCAAAGAGCAACCGAGGCCCCGCCCCAAATCGTGCAATTGAGACTTGCGAGCACCCGCCCAAGGTGTTATGCAAATAAGGCTCCTAGAGGCCCCGCCCCTCGCCTCGCCTCGGAGTCTGCGCGGCGCGGCGCGGAGCTGGGTGGACAGCATCTCCATCTGTGCCTTCTCCGCCCGCCTGCCAAGCCAGCCATCCGTCTGTTGGTCCCGCCGCGCCGGTGACGTCTAGGCGGAGCCGGGGCTCAGGCGGCAGCAGTCCCGACCGGGTGAGCGGGAGGAGCTTGGGGTGCCCCCTTTACCCGCTCTCGCGGGCTTCTGGTCCTGGACCCTCGGTTTGTCTGTCTGTCTGGCCCGGGTTCAGTTCCTGCCGGTCGGGTCCCCTGCGGACACAGCGTGGGGCGGCATACTGGAGCTTGGGGACCAGGCTGGGGGAGGGGAGCGTGAGGAAGGGACCCCCAGCTTGAGAAGCCAAGCGGTGGTGATGAGGGTGACTGTGATTGAGTGGTTGTCATTATGTGCCAGTGTGTGGTTGTGTAACAGTCATTGTGTGACTGTATAGCTGTCATTGTGTGGCTTCTGGACTGTCGTGTGGTGTGTCTCCTGTGGCTGTCATTGTGTGGCTGTGGTAGTGGGTATTACTCTGATGGTGTGTGTGTGCCTGTGTCATTGTGACTGCTATCACTGTGATTGTGTAGATGTCTTGGTGTCTGTATGGTTGTGTGCATATGACTGTCATGGTGTGGCTGCTGTGTGTTCTTTCTGATGGTGTGGGGGGGCCATTTTTGCTTTCTAGTGTGTGGCTGTGATCGTGCACCTTTCTTGTGTGGTTGTGTGGCTCTGTGTGTGAGTCTGTCATGGTCCATGTACATGTCCTTATGTGACCATGTGGCTGTGGTTGTGGCTGACACGGTGTCTCTCCTAAGGCTGTCAATGTGGACAAGAACTGTAAGTAAATGTGTGTGATTGTCACTGAATTGGGGGTGTGACACAGTGACTGGTTCTGTCACCCCCATTGTGTGTGGTGACTCTTTTTGATGTGACTCTTAAGTGTGTTGGCAGTTCTGAGTCCACGTCCCTAATGGCGGTGGGATGAGGGCTCTTGTGGGGCTATGTATGGAGCTCTGGGGTGTATGGAGGACCTCCTGTATATCTCTGTGACTGTATGTTTTATGGGGGAGTTGTTTGATCTGTGTGGGTGTCTGTGACAGGCCATGTGCACACTGTGCTGTGTGTGTGTGTGTGTGTGAATGTGCAGTTATGTGTGTGGTGGGTGTTGGGCACCTGTCTGAATGAGAGGGCCTGTCTTGTTCACCACAAGGCTGGCACCCAGCACAGTGCCTGGAACCCAGCAGGCACTTGGTCCATGTTGGTGGGATAGATGAATGCTGGGCCATGGTGTGTGCGCGCGGGGAGAGGGTAGTGATAGAGACTGTGGCTGAGTTGTGTACTCTGGAGGTACCAGTATGGGTGATTGTGTCTCTGAGAGGGTGAGGGGGCCATGGCCGTGTGGACATCTGGGACCTCTAGTGACCCTCACCCCACATGTTACACCACAGAGCAAGCCTTGTGGATTGAGCCCTGGACCCAGAGTGCCTGCCCTCATCTGCCTGGGCCTCAGTTTCCACATCTGTGCAATGGGGGTGACCATCCCTGCCCTGCTGACCACAAGGAGAAGCTGTGAGTCCGTGGGTGTGGCAGCAGCCTGTGGGAAGCCATAGGGCCCTTTCACAGGTGAGGCCAGGCTGGGAGAATGGGTCAAGCAGGTGTGACGCTTAGCTGTTCAGTAGTGGGAGCACGTGGTGGACAGATAACCCCCTAGTTGTACAGGGAGGCAGATGGGCTGGAAGGAGGTAGAGGGAGGCAGCTGGGGGAGAAGGAGGGCCTGGCCATCAGCCATGAACCACAGAGACAGGAAAGCGGCCCCTGTGGGCCATGGGGGAAGGGGCTCAGGGGAGAGGCCTAGCGGGGGTGGGGTACGTGGAGCATGGTGTCCCCTGTAAAGCATGTGGGGAAAGAGGGTGGGGTCCCCTAAAAACCGGTGGGGGTAAAGACTCTTATAAATGTATCCTTTAGAAGTCTCTTCTAAAGGCCAAGGGGAGAGGTCCTTCTTGGTAATGAGGAGAGGCCCTCCTAAAAGTATGAGGTCGGAGTCTCCTATGTAGGCTGTAGGGGGCAAAGACCACTAGAGAATCTCCGGGGTTCCTCCCACCACCACCCCACACAGGTTAAGCTATGAGGATTGTGTGAGGGGAGGCTGGTGCCTCCAATGGGCACGGGCAGGGGCAAAACCTGGATATGCAGCGGCATGGCCAGAAGGCCCAAGGAGTGGAGCCAGAGCTCCTTGGTAGTCCTCCGTGGGGCCAGGGCTGTGGCCAGAGGACTCCACTCGGGCCAGCGACCTGAACCACCCCCTAGGCCCCATCCCTGCCACCCTATTCCCTCCCCACCTCCACAGGCCTGGGCATTCACCATGGCTGGAGGGAGACCTCAGCTGAAGAGGAGTTTCTCCATCATTCCCTGCTTTGTCTTCGTGGAGGTGAGGAGCTGGATGCTTTCCTTAGACTCTCAGTGGGAAGGGGGTATACCTGTCTTCCTGTCCCCTCTCTGCCCAACCTCAGTCTCCCTTATCTTGACAAGGTCCCTACCTGGACCTATTTTTTCATCTCCCTGGCTGCAGTCCTACCCTCGCTCTCCCTGATCTCTCACTCCCTGTCTCTCTGGAGAATGAAAGTGCTACTCCCATTCTCTTGAGACATGGCTATGAGCTTGCATTCAGAAGTGGCACTTCTGGGGTTCTACTCCTGCTCTGCCCATCCTTACTGTGAAACCCTGGGGCACCTCACATATCCTCCTGAGCCTCAGTTTCCTCTTCTGTCAAATGAGCATATTTAGAGTGTCTCTCTCCTAGGGCTGTTATGAAGGTAAAATATATTCATTCACAGAAGAGGTTTAGTATGACACCCCACCCACATTAAGGGTTATACCTGTGGTAGCTAGTTCTACTAGTAGTAGTATTTCTTTCCTTGGTGATCTGTCACTCTGCCACCCACTGTCTCTGTATCTCTTTCTGATCTGTGTCCTCACTCTCTCTGCCCAATCCCATCTCCTCTCTCCTGTCTCTATTCTACCATTCGAATCCCTTCTCTTTCTATTCTTTGCTTTTTCTTTCTCTTTCTCCTTCTCTTCCCTCTTTTCTCTTTTCCCCTCCACTTTTGTCTTCTCTCTCTTTCTGTTTCTGTCTCCATCTCTTTTTTTGTCTCCCAGACCCTGACCCTTCTCTCACCCCCTTTCCCCCCATCTCTGTCTCTCTCACTTTTTTAGTTCCTTCAGTTTTGATCACTCTCTCCCTCACTCCCCATCGCTCTCCCTCTCCATGTTTGTATGTGTCTCTCTCTCCATGTCCCCAGCTCAGGCCTGACCCTCACTCTTCTCTCTCCGTCTCTCTCCATCTCTCTCTCCACCCTGGCTGGGCGGCAGTCAGTGCTGCTGGGTGTGGTGGTCCTGCTTGCTTACCGTTTGGAGTTCACGGACACCTTCCCTGTGCACACGCAGGGCTTCTTCTGCTATGACAGTACTTACGCCAAGCCCTACCCGGGGCCCGAGGCTGCCAGCCGAGTGCCTCCTGCACTTATCTATGCCCTGGTCACTGCTGGGCCCATCCTCACGGTGAGATTGAGGGTAGCCTTGGTAGAGTGTGGGAGGACCTCCCAGGAGGCAGGAGGGCCAGAGGGAGGGAGGTAGAAGGCTAGGCTTGAAAGCTAGGGAGACCCTGTCTTGGTCTCACCCACAGATCCTGCTGGGGGAGTTGGCCCGTGCCTTTTTCCCGGCACCACCCTCAGCCATCCCCATCATCGGGGAGAGCACCATCGTGTCTGGGGCCTGCTGCCGCTTCAGTCCCCCACTGAGGAGGCTGGTTCGCTTCCTGGGTGAGTAAAAGGGCCAGGGGTCAGCCCCCCAAAGAGATATGGGCCAGGCTCAGCCTTAGTCAGAATTCCAGGGGGATTCTAGAATCGCCATGATGGTGCCTTCAGGGGCAAAGAGGTACTTAGGCTCAGGCCAGGCATTAATGGAGGTTTTAGGGGTATGGGTGGGGCCTAAGCTAACCATGATAGCAACTTAAGAGGAGGGTCCCAAATTGCCACAAGGAGAATCTCAGTCAGAAAAGGGGGCTATAGGCGCATGCCAAACACCATGGGGCCCCCAGAGAGATAAGTCCTCAGCGGTGCTTTAAACGTAGTCCCAGCCACAATGGGTAGCCATAGGGTAGGGGAGAGGGCATAGCTCCTCCGTAATGGTGGCTCGTCCCTGTGGCAGAGGGCTGGAGATCTGGTTCTGGCTTATTGGTGATCCAGAGGAAAAGTGATCAACTCAGTAATAGTGAATCTAGGGCAAGTATATGAGGCCCAGAAATGCCATCAGGGTGGTCCTAGGAGGTCCCAATCCTGATGTAATGCTGTTGAGGGGTCACAGCCTAGCTATAATGGAGCCACAGGGGAGGGCCCACTCCTGACATAGTGCTAATCCCAGAGAGAGAGGCAAGGGACCCAGAATGCCATCATGGTGGCCCAGCTATAATAGGGTACAGCATTAAGGGGAGTCCCAGGTGCTTTAATGGCGGTCACAAGAACAAGGAGACAGGGGCCCAGAAAAGCCATAAGGGGGTTCACAGGAGGAGGGCCACAGGGACATCAGCCTCAACCATGAACCCCTTCTCCCGCTCCATCCTCAGGGGTCTACTCCTTCGGCCTCTTCACCACAACTATCTTCGCCAACGCAGGGCAGGTAGTGACCGGCAACCCCACGCCGCACTTCCTGTCCGTGTGCCGCCCCAACTACACGGCCCTGGGCTGCCCACCACCCTCACCGGACCGGCCAGGGCCCGACCGCTTTGTCACTGACCAGGGTGCCTGCGCCGGCAGCCCCAGTCTGGTGGCTGCTGCACGCCGCGCCTTCCCCTGCAAGGACGCCGCCCTTTGTGCCTATGCGGTCACCTACACGGCGGTGAGCCCCGAAATGGGAGCGCGGCAGTGGGGGGCGGCCAGTAGGCAGGAGGCCACCTGGGCTGGAGCCTCCAATTCCTCCCCGGGTGAGGCCCTGCCCTGGCGCTGTGACTGTGCCCCTAAGGCAGAGTCTAACCAGGAAAGCTCTGAGCTCTTCACGCCTCCCTTCAGGCCTTGGTCACGCCCCCGTCTGACTATTGCCGTTCTTGACGGCGCCTCTTGGTGTCGGGCCACACTTCCTGACCCAGTAATGCCACCCCCGATGGAGGCTGTTGGCTGCACCCTGTGGGACTAGGTTGCTGTCCCTGGAGTTTAGCCGTGTCCCCAGGATGCTACAGGTCCTGGATACTGGCTGGGAGATTGGACGTGTGGGTTTTCGACTCTGCCCCCTACAGCCCTCATGCCCCCTACCTTTGTCTTCGCACATTATTTTACTGGCTATGCCCTTGACTCAACTGTGGTAGGACTTCCTGACTCTCCCCTGCTTTTCCCTGATGCACCCCTGTTGCATTGACTTCTTTTTCTGGCATCTGAGTCTGGTTTCTAACCCTGTCGGTGGTTGCCTGGGATTTGGGGACTCCACGTCTTGGAGCTCCTGGACCTGCCCCTTGGGCCCTAACTCCACCCTCTGGTTCTGTGGCCACACCCTAGCCCAGCAAGAGTCTTTCCCCATCTGTGACTGGTCCCTGGGACTCCTGGCCCCAGACGTTCTTTACTGCTCTTTGGTGATCTGGCCACACCCCCACCCCTGCAAGGGCCCACTGGGAATCCACGACTCCATCCTGTGAACTCCTGTCCCTGGCTCTGTTTCCTGGAGCCCCTGACCACATCCTCCAGCCCTAGTACCGATCCTGGGGATTCTGGCCATGCCCCCTAGCCCTGAACGCAGTGGCCACTTGAGTTCGGCAGCTGTGTCCCCTGACCTGTCTGGCTCCCGCAGATGTACGTGACACTGGTGTTCCGCGTGAAGGGCTCCCGCTTGGTCAAACCTTCACTCTGCCTGGCCCTGCTGTGCCCCGCCTTCCTGGTGGGCGTGGTCCGCGTGGCCGAGTACCGCAACCACTGGTCTGACGTGCTGGCCGGCTTTCTGACTGGGGCAGCTATTGCCACTTTCCTGGTGAGCCCCCTTCGCACCCATCCCAGTATAGGAGACCCTACATCAGCTCTCTGACCCAAAAGGCAGGGCCACATGATGGTGAAGGGTGTGGACTGTGTGACCTTGGAGGAGACCTTTAACCTTACCTTTCCTAGATGTTCTCACCTGTGAAATGGAATGACAGAAATGAGATCAGAGTGAGTCAAGTAAGGCACTCGCTTTGAGCATATAATTTAAGAGGGTGCTAAAACATTCACTAATCCAAATAATATTTTAGTGAAACATTTTTTTAAAATCAAAAGTCATGTAAAATATATATAAAAAATTTAAATAAAGTCAGGATTCAATCCTGCCCTTGCAAAACTCAGCTTTACTTGCTTCCTCCTAGTCTGGTTCTGTGGAATAAATAATAGTAGTAGCCACCACTTAGGGTGGAAATAACAGTTCCTGGCACACAGTGAGCACCATAAAAATGTTAGTTGTCTGTGGGCTGGCTGAGTGGCACATTGGTTAAGAGCTGGCTTGGGACGCCAGAGGGCCCTGGTTTGGATCCCACATATGAGGACCAGTGACACTGCCCTCCACAGCTAAGATGCTGAACAACAGCTCAACCTGGAGCTGGGCTGCCTTGAGTCACTGCTGATGGCGTAGGCTGCAGCCCCTGTGGCAGTGGGCTGCCATGGGCTACCGTGTGTAGCCAGCAGCCAGCGTGAGCGGCCAGCAGCCGCTGTGAGCGGCCGTCCAGAAGCCGGCAACTGATCTGCCTCGCCCGGGAAGAGCGCAATGATGGTGCCAACTTGGGCCAGTGAAGCAATGTCCTCCACAACTAGACTGAAGAACAAAAGGACAGCAATTTGTCTGTTCCCCTTCCCCCAATTTCCCAATAAAAATGTTAAAAAGAAAGAAAGAAAAAAAAAAAGTTAGTTGTCTGTGAAAACCTGAGCTTCAGTTTTCTTATCTGAAAAATGGGGATGGTATTTATACCACTCCTATCTTATCCTTGAGCCTCAACATTTTGCTCTCCTTCTGTCCCAGGTCACCTGCGTTGTACACAACTTTCAGAGCCGGCCGCCTTCCAGCCGAAGGCTCTCCCCCTGGGAGGACCTGGGCCAAGCCCCCACCGTGGACAGCGCCCTCGAAAAGTTAAGTGTGGCCCAGGTAAGGGGGGCCGGAGGCCGCTCCCGGCTGGAGATGGTAGCGGGTGGAATAGGACTAAGGAGGCAGGGAGGCAGGCAAGAGGTGGAGGGAGGGTGTCTCAGGGCCATGGGGAGGTGGGGGGATGGCTTGTCTCTGTGGACACAGGTCCTGGAGGACAGTCCCACAGAATAGAAAGGTGTGCCCCCTCTCTTCCTGCCAAGGGGACATGGTTAATCCTGAGAAGCTGGTTCTTTTCCACTGGGAATTCCTGCCCAATGAGTCCCTCATGCTGTGGCTGGCAGGGCCCAGGGGGCCACTAGCCCCATCCCTCTGCCTCTTTGTCTCAGGAACCCGAGGCCTGCAGGCCGCATTCGACACCGGCACGGCTCACCCCATCCAGTGAGTGTCAAGGGAGTGGGGGGATATATGGGGGGAATTCCAGATGGCAGTCACTGCCACAGCGGTCTCACCTCCTCCCAAGCTTTCTGATCCCCTGACTTCTGACCCCTGACCCCCAGAGCCGCAGAACTGCACCCGCCGTGGCCACCTGATCCCCAGCTGCGTGTCCTCCAGGGCTCCAGCCATGTGTTCATCGCCCCGTGTGCCCCGCCCTCGACTGAGGTCTGAGCCAACGCCTCTGCCGCTGCCCCTGCCCCTGCCAGCACCGACCCCCAGCCAAGGTCCCTCACCCTCCTCCCCTGGGCCTGGAGGGCCAGGTGGAGGTGGTGGACGTGGCCGGAAGCTGCTGCTGCCCACGCCCCTACTTCGGGACCTGTACACCCTTAGCGGACTCTATCCCTCCCCTTTCCATCGGGACAACTTCAGCCCTTACCTGTTTGCTAGCCGCGACCACCTGCTGTGAGGCCCAACCACCCATCCAAAATCTGCCCAGTCTCCATTTTTTCCCTGCTCTGTGTGTGTGTGTGTGTGTGTGTGTGTATGTGTTGTATGCATGTGTCGTGTGAGTGCCAAAGCCCCATCCCCAAACCAGCCAGGCCCAGACATCAGAGGCTGGCTGGAAAGACATTTGGGGGATCCCCTGCTTCTCTTGCCCTCTGGGACATCCAAGTGGGCACAACTGAGAGGTGGGCCATTGCCCCCTAGGATTGCCCTTTTAAGGTTCAAATCATGACCCCACTGGCCATTGCCTAGCCAATGGGAGCCTCCAGTTCTCTGAATTCCAACCAAAAGGAGTTTACTCCAGCCAATGGGAGTCTCCCCTTTACGTCTTAGAATCCTCAGGCAAGAGGGCAATTCCAGCCAGTGTTCACAACCAATAGGAGTCCTTGGTTTTCAGAATTTGTAGGGTGGGTATGATTCCAGCCAATGGGGGACCGCCCATGTCTAAGCATGTGCAAAATTGAGGAGGGAAACGGGGTTATCCTTTGTCATCAGGCCCTCCTCAGAATCAAATCCCGCAGGCTCCCCCATGGCAGGGTCCTTGGGGCACCCCCTTTCCCTTCTCAGTCCCTTTCCCACATGCACCCTCTCACCCAGTCCCTCCTAACTCTCTACTTTTGCCGGGTGTGTCCAGTTTAGAGGTTTGAGGGTTCAGAGTACTGTCTTCCCTTGCCCGTACCCAGGTCCCCCCAAACCCTCTATTATTTATTAGGGCTATAGGAAAGGACGTTTTTTCTCTTGGAACCCACCCCTGTCCTTCACACTGCCCCCTATGCCTCAACCTCATGCAGATGTGCCATTTAGGGGGGGCATGGGTAGAGCAGACAGGGCTCCCCAACCTCGGGGCAGCCAAAGGTAGTAGGTAGAGGAAACACCACCTCCCTTTACTGTCCTTTCCTCATCTTTAATAAAGATCTGTTTGTAACAGAAGTTTGGCCACCTGCCTTCCTCTCCTGGGTGATGGAGTGTGGAGGACTTGGAGTGTGGGTCTAGGTGTCAGTGAGACTGGGTGTGGGTATATGCGTATTGTCACAGTGTATCTAGGGGTTATTGTGGAAAGACAACGTGGGGCTGTGGAGCCAGCAGCTTGGATTTAAATCTTGCCTCAGTATTGCTTAGCCTCAGGAAAATTAACTAACCTCTCTGTGCCCTTGTTTCTTCATGTCAAATGTAGACCCACAAGCCATATGTAAGTCACTCAAACCCATGGTGAGGGGCCTCACAAACTGTCTTTCCCAAGCAACTGGCCTATTTCTGACCATGGCCAGGGTGCAGAGAGCACAAAGAATAGAGTGAAGGGACTCTGAGGGTCCTGATAGTGAGGGGAGATGCTGAGAGCAGTAGGGACCTCCAAGCCAAACCCCTGGCTGCATGGATGAAAGCAGGGGTTCTGATTGTGAGGTTGTGCTGAGGACCTAGCAGAGACCAGGCAGAGTAGGAGGGGTAGGAAGCCACAGACATCCCTCCACCATGGCTCTGAGGGGCTTCAGACAGGACATTTGGGGCATGGTGTCATCTGGGGAGCAGGAAAGGGGAATCTGCTTTCCTTCTCCCCACATTCATTCATTAATTCATTCAACAAACACTATGGAATACCTACTATGTGCCAGGTGCTGTGTAGTTAGACACAGGCTCTGTAGTAGTGAACAGAACAGACACAAATTCCAGGCCACGTTCTAATCTGTAAGATACAGACAACGAACAAAGATACATAAGCTATACACAGAGCCACATCTCCAAATTTCAAAAAGGTCTGAAAACCAAACATTTTATTCATAACTCATTTGTGGCAAAAACCTGAACTGACGTGAGGTTATTATAGCTTCTTTATTTAATTTGATGTAAATATTCTTATGTTTCATTAAAGTGTTTGGATTTGAGATTTATCCCAGGTCCCAGCTGGCATGTTATACAATATAGTATTTACACCATAGTAGCTTTTGAAAATCTAAAAAATTCTGAATTCCAAACTCTAGGAACAAAGATTTAGGTCAGGGATTAGTATCTCTGGTATGTTAGATATTGATTAGTAATAAGGAGAAAACTCAAGCTAGAGAAGACAATGGGACAACTGTGGGCTGGGAACAGTTTGCAATTTAAAGAGGGTGGTCAGGAAAGTTCTTTCTGAGGAGATGATACTGAAGATAAAGCGTGCAGGAGAGGAAGAAGGGAGGCATGAAAATACCTGGGGTGAGGGGAGGAGCATTTCAGGCAGAGGGAAGAGCAAGCATGAAGACCCTGAGGTGGGAGCGTGCCTGTTGTATCCAGTCTGTGTGGCTGAAGCAGAATGAGAGGGGAAGGTGGTGGGCCTGACTGTGGGTCACAGGGAATGCGATGGGAGCATGAAAAGGCTGAAGGCAGAGGAGGGACAGAACAACGGAGTCCCCTGCTTTACCGATCATAGCTCCTATTTCCAGGGCTCGCACCCTGAGATCCGTGGTGCCTCCTGTCGCACAGCTGCCTCCACGCGGGCCAGGAAGGAAGCAAAGTTTCAGCACGGCGGACAGCACCTCGACCAGCCTTGTTGGTGCTGTCCACGGTCCTGATGCTAAGCGTGGGCCAAGAAAATGTAAAATTGGGGTTGCAGGACACAAAGTCTCTGGGCCTGCCAGAAAGGATGGTGACAGCACACAGGGCCTTGTCCACACCTCATTCCCAGGATAGACAGTCTTAGGCAGAGAACTCAGTCTAAGATGTACTTGTTCATTCAAAAGCTTTCTTGACGTGTCCCTGTGTGGACTCAACTCAACTTAACCAAAACTAAGCTCCAGCTTAGAATGTAAGTGAGAGCACATCCGTCCTCTGCTCAAACCCACTTGTGGATCCCCATGGCACTCTATGGAAAAGCCAAAGTTCTCCCAGTGCCTCAGGTCCTTTGCATGTGCAGATGCCTCAACTTGGAATGTTCTTCCCCTACATTACTGCATGGTTCACTCTCTAACCTCCTTCAAGCCTTTTCTCAACCATCAACCCCTCATTGAGGTCTGCCCCTACCACTCTATTCAAAATTGCGTAAAACCCAAACAGTTGGCCCTCCCAACTTCCCTTCCCTGTGCAAACTTTTTTGCATGCACTTAACATCTGCTCATAGACTATTTAAATTTCTTTATGCTTAGTGGTCATTATCTTCTCCCTCACTAGGATGTCAGCTCAGACAAAGACTTTGTCATCTGTTCACTGTTGAGTCCCTAGTGACCAGAACAGGGCCTGGTACACAGTAGGTGCTCAATAAATATTTGTTAAATGATTTAACTAAGGAGGTTGATAAGTGAGGGAGAAGCACAGACTGACCATGAGCTGTCCACTTCCCCATTCCTTCACACATCAGTCCTCCCTCCCCCAATGAGCTCCTCTGTGTTAAGCATCCTTCTGTCAGGATATGAAAACAGGATTCTGAGAAGTGAGAGAAAGAAATACTGTTTGCATGAGAGATATGCCAAGTATCTGCTTCTCTTCCAATGTACTCACTCAGCCTACATTTATGAGCACCTACTATGTGCCAAGTGCTTTTCTAGGAGCTGGAGATCCAGTAGTGAACAAAATAAAGACCTTACCCTGCTGGTATTGGCACTCTAGTGAGGAGAGAGGCAATAACATAAATACATAATGTTGGAAGTGATAACTTATTTGAAGATAAATAAAGATAAGCAGTTAAAGAGTAAAGGGTGTGTGATTTTACACAGGTGATCAGGGAAAGCCTCTCTGAGTAAGTGATATTTGAGCAGAGACCTAAATGGAGTGGGAAAATGAGCCCAGGGATATCTGAGAGCTGAGTTCTCTAGGCAGAACAGCAAATGCAAAGGACCTGAGGTGGGGCTGTGTTCATCATGCTCCTGTGTATGTATTATAACTGTGTGATACAGGTGTCACTACTGGGTGTTTGTGCATTTGGATTGTTGCAAAGTGAGGTAAATCATGGGTTGTGTATCTGTTGGTGGGGGACTGCGGTACTTTTGACAAGGCAGTGTAACAATGTACCTTATCTCTCTGTGTATGTATAGAAAGAGCTGCAGGGGGCCGGCCGAGTGGCTCAGTTGGTTAAGAGCTCGCTCAAGAGTTTGAGCTCTGAGCAACAGCGGTTCGAGTCCAGCCCAAGCTGAGCTGCCAACAGGTAGCAGGATGGCTCAGCTAAAAAAAGAAAAAGAAAAAGAAAAAAAACCCAAAGAGCTGCAGGAACATTAGCTGAAACGTGTGTGTGTGTGTGTGTGTGTGTGTGTGTGTGTGTGTGGTGGCAATGATATTGTTGTATTAGTGTGTTCTGGTGTATGTTCAAGGGAATGGTGTGGGGGCGCGAATGTGGAAGAGAGTGAGTATGGGATGCTTTGTGTCAGGATAGGATAGGGTTGTGAGCATGTGGGTGATGGGGATTCTGGAAGTGGAATATATGCAGAGATGCCATGGTGTGTGTGTGTAGGGGCGTGGAGGTACCGGCTGTGTGAGTGGGTGTATTGGGGGATGTTGTGGAGCTGAGTTCTGGTCTTTAGAGGGAGAGAGAAAGCCCAGGAAATCTCAGTTCCGCAGTGCCCCTTGGTCTCCAGGCAACCACACTACTTTGAAGTTACCAAGAGACAGAGTTGCTAGGGCAACAGGGGTTTGAGTGGCAGCTCTAGGGCCAAGTCTGGGTGAGGAGCCCCAGCCAGCAATCACTCACCTTGTTCTTCCTTCTCTCCCAGTTTCTCATCAATCCTACCTTGCTTTTTTCATCCATTCATTTAACAAGCATATATTGAGATTCTACAATGAGCTAGTCACTGTTCTGGGCGCTGGAGTTACCTAATGAACAAAGCAAACAAGGTCCCCGCCATGGCCCTCCCTCAGTCTTCCAGCCCGTCTCTTTGTTTCTACGGGCCCCTACTTTGCTCTACGGTGCTGCCCCTGCTTTCCCCCCTCCCCCCGCCCCAGCAGGACCTAGGGAACCCCAGGCCATAAAGGAAGCCAGTTGAGACTCCTCACAGACCCTCAGAGACAGCTTCTGATGTTTCACACACAAATGTCCTTGAGCCTGCAGCCTGCCCCCACACACTTGTACCGGTACTCAGATGCAGAGACAAATACACAGCTACTCCATCTCTTCGCTTCTCAACTGTCATTGGGTGACATCAGCAGAAACACCCACAGACACATGCCCATGGCAATATTCCTCGGAGATATCATAAGTTCCATTTTACAGGTGAGCAAACAGAGTCTAGGAGACTTTAATGTGTCAGCGATTAGGGAAGAACCGCTCCCGCCAACTCTCAACCCTTATATCTGTCTGATTAGCTGATTACTTCACAATAATAGTATTCGTGCTGCTTCCCTCAGCAAACTCAAGCAAGGGAAGGGCCTTTTCTCTTTCAAACACCAGCATTCCTCCTTCCTCAGGCTATGTTACTTGCCCCTTCCATCCGTGAAGGAGATAGCAGAGTCCGATCTTTAATGGACAGATTCACAGACCAATGGAGAAGCCAAGTGCATCGTAACCAATGAGGCCTCGGCTTGGGAGGGACTAAGGGCAAGAACGGGCCGCCAATTGGACAGAGATACGTTGCGGATGGCAGAGACGCTGAGGCGGGTGCTAGAACCGGGCAGGACGGCCGAGCCCGGGGAGGAGAATGCAGTCGAGGCTGACCCGCCTTTGCTGCTGCTCGGCGGTCCAAGCTCTGGAAAAACAGCGCTGCTCTTCGCGGCGGCCCTGGAGGCGGCAGGGGACGGCCGAGGCCCCGTCCTCTTCCTGACCCGGAGGCCTCTGCAAAGCTTGCCCAACAGGACACCGGCAGCCCTGGACCCCCTGCGACTACAGGTAACGGGGAGACGGGACTGGACCAGACAGAGGCTAACCTGCCAGTGACGGGGCGGATCAAGGATTGAGTGACAGGTATACAGACCAATGGCGGGCACAAAGGAAGGGCGAGCCGGAATAGCCATTAGGTGGCGCAGTCAGGAATGAGCGGGGGGCGGGACATGCTAGGGCTTAAAATTGAGTGAAAGACTACCCAATAGAGGGGCGGAGTTAGCGAAAGGCGGTGCTCAAATGGTGGGATCAGGGCACTTAAAGGCGGGACTAAGTCTGGTTGTTGTCCGGAAGCGAGTTGGTTCCAGAGAAGCCGGAGTCGATGATGAATGAGGTCATACTGTTAAGGCTAGGGCTGGGTTTTGAATGGAGAGATTGCCCTAGAGCTTTGGCAAAAAGACATACCTTGTTTCAAATAATACCGGGCAGTGATGAGTGATGGATAAAAAAGGAGGGGGCAAATAAAAGAATATTCCACCACTCTGAGCTGCTTCATTGTGGAACCAGCTGTCGGGGGAGTGAGAGCCTCGTCCAGGAAAGTATGCAAGGAAGCAGGGCTGCTATAGCTGGGAGCCTGGCTTCCTCTGTTGAATCTGGCCCTTTCCTTTTTTCCTCCCAATAGAAGATCCGTTTCCAGTACCCACCCTCAACGGGTGAGCTCCTCCGGTTCCTGTGCTCTGCCCATGAGACCCAGGGGCCTGCTCCCGCCCTTCTGCTGCTTGATGGCCTGGAGGAGTACTTAGCTGAAGATCTGGGGCCCCAGGAAGCCGCCTACCTGGCTGCCCTGCTTCTGGACACAGCTGCCCACTTCAGCCACCGGATTGGGCCTAGCCGAGGCTGCGGGCTCATTGTGGCCCTCCAGACCCCGGAGGAGGGAGACAGCGGGGATGCCCTGCAGCTGTCGCTGCTCCAGAGGTATTTCCCTGCCCAGTGCTGGCTGCAGTTGGATGCACCAGGCCCAGGACAGCGCTGCCTCAGAGCCTGCCTGGAGCCAGGTGGGCTGGGCCCCAGGGCAGAGTGGTGGGTGGCTTTCCAACCAGATGGAGAGATGACAGTCACCCCATGGCCTACCCAGGCTTGTGACCCTAGCCCAAACAAGGGTTCAAGTTCTGGAGGCCAGCCTTGAGCTTTGGTATGTGACCACCTCTCTATACCTCAGTTTCCTGTGGCTGGAATACTTACCTCAGGGACATGTGCAGATTCAAAGACCTAAAGAATGTAAAGTGCCCTTTCTCTTTTAAAAATAGCATTATCATGTACATATTGTACCCTATCAACATATTTTAGTTTTGCTGTATTAAACTTTATGAAGAGTTTCATGAGAAATGTAAATTTATGAGACTTCTTTCTTCTCCCCCTCAATATTGTTACCAAGATTTGGCCATATTTTCTAGTTCATTTCTTTATCCCTACTGCATATAATTCCATGGGTAACTAGACCCTAATTTATTCATCAGGTTGACTTTACTGCTGTGAACATCCTTGCACACATGTCCTGAAGTGTGTGTGTGTCAAGATCGTTAGGGTATATACCGTGTTTCCCTGAAAATAAGACCTAGCCAGAGAAGAAGCCCTAGCATGATTCCTCCAGGATATAGAGGCACGCACCCCTCACATGAGGGTTTTTTGACCTGTTTCAGGACGAAGGGTGCCTTTTCCACAAACTCCTTCAGCTTAAAATATTCAGTATGCCAAGGTGCCATATTTTGGCACCTAAAATCACATGAGGGCTTATTTTCCGGTTAGGTCTTATTTTCGGGGAAACAGGGTACCTAGAAGTGGAATTGCTGGAGTAGAAGGTATGCATATGTTTAGCTTTCCTCGGTTATTTCAAACTTTTAAAAAGTGGTTAAACCTGAATTTCCAACCACTTGATAACATTTGGTGTCATGAGAGTGCTTTCTTAGAATGGGGCCTGATATAGAATAAAGCCCTATGAATTAATGTTATATTAGTGGTACAGACGAGCTAGAGGCCCATTAAACAGTTTTCCTCTCCCTGGGTGCACAGCTAAACAGCATTCCCTTGCCATTCATGGTTCTAGCTGGGGTCATGTAACTTTTTGGCCAGTGGAATTTGTGAAGAGGAGATGGAGCCCACTTCTTTGCAAGATCCCTTAAATGGCCCTAAAAGAACCTTCTGTCTCTCTCTTTAGTTGGCTGACTGCACAGGATCCATCTAAAGACCTCAGGGTGGCTCTGGTGGGTAGTGAAGCTACAAACAGGAAGAGTCTGAGCTTCTAACTCATCCCAGGGATGGATGTCCACCTGTTTGAATTGAAATATGAGAAACCACTTAATATGTTAAACCAATCAGATTTAGGAGTTGTTTGTTATGGCAGCTAATGTAACTTACCAGGTCTGACAATTAAGTTCTGAACTTGTTGCAAGTTGGCGAACTTGTTGCAACGATGTTGCTAACCTTTTTTTGATATCAGATATTCGTTATAAATTTGTACCAACTGGACAAACAGTTAACGAAGTTTACTATTTGGAAGTGCTGAAAAGCCTGCATGAAAAAGACGACCTGAACTTTTTGCCAATAATTCATGGCTCTTGCTTCACGACAATGCACCAGTTCACACAGCACTATCTGTGAGGGAGTTTTTAGCCAGTAAACAAATAATTGTATTGGAACACCTTCCCTACTCGCCTGATCTGGCCCCAAATGACTTTTTTCTTTACCCAAAGATAAAGGAAATATTGAAAGGAAGACATTTTGATGACATTCAGGACATCAAGGGTAATATGACGACAGCTCTGATGGCCATTCCAGAAAAAGAGTTCCAAAATTGCTTTGACGGGTGGACTAGGCGCTGGCGTTAATGCATAGCTTCCCAGGGGGAGTACTTCGAAGGTGACCATAGTGATAATCAGCAATGAGGTATGTACAATAGCACTTTTTCTAGGATGAATTCGTGAGCTTAATTGACCTTGTATACTGACATTCATATTATTATGATTACTATTCAGATTTCCAGGTCCTGAATTTCAGATGGCGCTCACAGCCTTTTACTGTGGCCCCTATGGCCTGGACCTAGGAAAGATGGGGCTTACAGGGTGTTTGTAGAAGTAATGATAGAAAAACTTACATATATATATATATATATATATATTTATATTTATATTTATATTTATATTTATATTTATATTTATGTATGTATATGTGTGTGAGTGTATACCAAAAACCCCCCAAAAACTATACATTTAAAAATAACTGCAAGGTTGTGACTTCCTGAGCAGGATGGACTGGGCACATAGCCAAGGTCAGCAATGCCCCTAGTCCTCAGGGAGGCCTTGCTGACCCTGCCTAACAAGTCTTGTGCCTGGATTAGCACTTGAGGTTATGCTGGGTCCCCAAGCATTTGAGGACTAGAGTCCTAGGAGCAGGCCATGTAGCTGGGGGTTGGCTTGGGGGCTGGGACAAGGCTGTTCTCATAAGGGTTGGAGTAGAGGCCATTAGATGAGCCCCCCTTGGCTCCCTGGGAGTCCCTTGAGCTGTAGTCAGTTGAGATGCCAGAATCTGACACCACGAGGTATAGGTACTTTAGATGGGGTGGGGTGGGGGGCAGCTCAGGGGGCAGTGCTCTCGGACGCAAGAGCTGGGAGCTGGGGTCCAGGATGGTGTACTCAAAGCTGGCAGCCGAGGCCCCCCCTGGCTTCAGGGCCAAAATGGATGAGCAGGAGGATGCTTCTGAGCCTTCATCCATGGCTGCTATGTCCAAACCGCCACCAGGCTGTGGGAGGTCCTCACTAGGCGGGCTCCGAGGCAGCAGCCACTTGTCCAGCACCAGGTAGGTGTCCTGGGCATGCTCACTGCCCACCGGCTCCAGCAGGGGCCCCTCAACATCTGTCCCTGGCTCCACTGCTTGTGTCACTCCCCAGCAGCGCTCAGAGAGAACTTCCAGGGGGGCGGGTGGGTCCTCTGTGAAGGGGGTGTAGGGGGTCCACCACAGACAGCCATCCTTCTGGTACAGCCACAGCTGGGAAAACAGCACCAGCTGGCTCAGAGACCTGGAGTTTGGCCACAGGAGCAGGGAAGCCACAGGCCCTGAGGGGACAACCAGGCCACCTACCTGGAAGTTACCCTTGTGGGTGGTGAAGAGACCCTCAAACTCACTCTCGGGACTTGGGATGCCAGGCCAGATCTTCTGCTTCAGAGTCCTGGTGAAACCAAAAGAAACAGGTACATGGGCATGTGTCACTGAACACTCACCAATACCCCCTCCGCACCCAGTCACAGGGGCACAGACATTCCTAGCCCCTGGTCATGATGAAAGGAGAGGAAAACATAGGGGCTGGGGGGTAGAGGCTTTGGTTAAAGTATCTGCAGAGCCCTGTAGGAGGGCAACTGAAATAGGATTTTGAAGAATGTAGAGGATTTCAACATATACTGCCTCATGTTCCCTCTAAACGTGGCTCAGGCTTGCCTGGCGGTCCAGTATGTTACTTCCCTCACTCTTTGCCATGGTTCCCCAATGTACCCAGAATAAAATCCAATCTCCTCCCCCCAGTGCTGCAGAAGACCCTGCGTACTCTGACTTGTCACCTCACTCTCGTCATCTACTGCGCCCTCTTAACACACACTGTTCTAGCCATAGAGCTCTTGTAACGGCTTCAATGTCAAGCTCATACCCACCTCAGGTTCTTTTTACTTGCTGTTTCTTCTCCCTGCTTTTCACATGGCTGCCTTACAACCATCAGATTTCCACTCTAATGTTACCTTCCAGAGGTTTTTTTCTAACCATCCTGTCATCTCCCCATATCCCATTTCTTTCTCTGCTATCACTCATCACAATTTATAATCAAATATATATCTGTTGGTTCCCTTGTTTGTTGTCTGACTCAACTATGAGAGCCACAAGGTCAGGGACATCTGGTTTATTCTCCACTTTCTCCCCAGTGCCTAGCACATAGTTGGCACTCAATATGTATTTTCCAAACAAATGAACAGGGCCTCAAAAGACAACTAGGAGATTTCTGGGTGGGCAAGGCAGGAAGAGCATCCTAGGCAGAAGGAACAGTATGTGCTAAGGCTTGGGAGTGTGAAACCACATGGTATGTGCTTAGAATTACAAAAAACTCAGGGTGGCTGGTCATATCATAAAGCATCTGAGGAGCTTGACAACAGGGATGGGGAGACAGGGGCTTAAATCTTTCCATTAAGCCCACCTCATTGATTTTACAAAAGTTGATGAAATCGGGAAAAGGAACTAGCAAAGGAATCCAAGAAGGGGCAGCCACTGAGGTAGAAGGAAAACTAGGTAAATGGCCCTCAGAGCAGAATGTTGTAAGACTCTGGGTCTGGTCTGGCTTGCATCCCAGCCCTGCCACTGACTCCTCACTGTGTGACCTTGGGCAAATGCCTGCCCCTCTCTGAGCCTAGGCTTCCACAGTGAAAGGGGGACGTTGGTGGGGAGGGGTCTGGGCCAGGTGCCAGAATAGGGTGCTTACCGGCGATGGGAGAGCAGGGCGAGTACAGCCAGCAGCAGCAGGATGAGCACGAGGATGAGGGACAGCGTCAGAATGAGTGGGTCCAGGTCTGGAGAGCCGGTAAGAGGTCAGGGCGGTGGGCTTGCCCCACGCTCCGCCCCAGTCCCTTCTATACCCCTGCCTGGGGCCTCACCACTAGCTGTCAGCAGCGACGCAGGATCCGACCAGGCGCTCCAGAAGCCATCGAAGCTTGGCTCGGCCATACGCGCACGTACCATGAAGGTGTAACGCGTTCCGCCCCGTAGTTTGCTCAGCACGCACTCAGTGCGGCCATCCAGGATTTCCACCTGGGGGCGGGGCGCGGGTGAGAGGCGTGGCCAATACGGGACGATATGTAGCGCGGGCCAATCAGAGAAAGGAAGGACGGCGCCCAGGCAAGGAGGAGGGACGTGGGGGGCAATAAAAATAGGAGGTGCGGCCCAGGAAGGCTCGGAGCCAATTAGGATGGGGCCGCTGGTAACGCGGCGCCAGAGCGTAGAGGGAGCGGGGCCCTGAGGGATCTAGGGTTTGGGACAAGTTAGATTCAGGTGAGCTAGGAGGCATTGAGAAAGGGGCTTTGTCGGTGGGCGTGGAGCTACTTGGGCTCAAAGGCAATGGGATGTCGGGCGTCTGGGGCGGGGCCATGGGGGAGGGGCCGTGGTGGTCATCTGGGCGGGACTTAGAGAGGTTGGGCCTTTGGGGTGGCCTCTGGGGAGGTGCGGTAGGGGCGGGCCTCACCCTCTGCGCTCCTACTGCTGCGCTGCCTGCGGAGATGTTCACCTCGTAGCGGATGAGGTTTGCCATGGGGGCCCCAGGTGGTGGGAGCCAGCGCAGTATCACGTGGCCGCCTTCGTCGGCCCGCCGTGCCTGCAGCCCCACGGGGGGATCCAGAAGCACTGCCGAAAAGGGTTGCTTTGGTGGGCAGAGACCGAGACCCCCTCCGGACCACTCCCGGATTTCCGGCGAACTTACCCACTTCGTTGATCTGGATGACACGGCTGTAGCGTGGAGCGCCGGAGGAGGCCTCTGTGACGCGCAGTTCTAGGGGCACGAAGCTCGAAGTGTCGGCGGTAGGCAGCGAGCACCAGAAGCGCACAGCTCCCCGGGCCGCGGGCGCCTGGTGCAGGCGGCATGGCTTCCACTGCTCACCCCTGTGTGCGCAGTAACCGGGTACTGTCGGCGCATTTTGGACACTAACACGATGGGGCGTCCCAACCCCGACGTACGCTTCGCCTTAGACCTGATTTGGAGGGGAGTTGTCCCAGCCCTGATGTTTGGGGTTGCGCCTCAGCGTGATCACCGGAGTGTTCTCGCCCTGGCCACTAGGGGACGTGTCAGCCCTTACCCCGCGGGTCCCCCACCAGTGACCACCAGCAGGGGAGATGCCATCCGGCCCTGGCCCATGCCTGCCCGATCCCTCCACCGGTGAGGGCGCTCTGCCTGCCCGGTCGGACTCACTCGAGCTGGTAGGAGAAGCTGTAGTTGTCCGGGCCGACCCTGGCGCTTGCTGCTTCCTCCCAAAAACATGTCAAGTCCTCCAACCGCTCTGTGAAGCACAGAAGCTCTTCGGGGCCGCGGGCCGCCAGCAGGGTCGCTTGGGTGGGCAAGGGGAGGGGGTCAGGACAACTGAACCCTGTCCTGGAACCACAGCGCCCTCCCCCTCTTTCCCGCCGCCTGTGCAGACAGATAAGAAAAGCCCCACCCCGCTCTCTACCCCAGCAGGGCCCCTCGAGGGGTACGCAGAGGTGGTGTCTCCCCGAACTGCTAAACGCAGGTTGCTTGCTTGACTTTCGCCCCAACACACACCCGCCCACCCCACGACCAGCTGCATGCAGCGTTCAAGGTCTCCGACTCCAGCTGCCCGGCCTTCCCCAGCCATGGACTAGCGAGCCCGTGGGTGTATGCGGAGGAGGCGGGGCTCCCTATCAGCCTCGACAGGCTCCCTGCTGTCCGATAGCGCCAACCGTGCCCCCCCCGCCCCCCTCCCTCACCCGTCGGGCAAGGGATCTGGTGCCCGCACACAAACCGTGTTTACAGTGGCCTGCGGCCAGGCCCCTCTGACTCGCACCCGGGCTTTTTTCTCTCTCCCCCACTGGAGGGTCTGCCAGTTCCCCTCACCTCAGGAACTCTAGACCGCAGAGCCCAG